CCGGCGGGGGCTCTCGCGGGTCTCCTGGGGCCGCCCCGCCTTCCGCGGCGCCGCCCGGGCCCAGCGCGGGGCTCGAAGGGAGCTGGCGGCCCCCGCGGAGCGTCTCGGCCCGGCCCGGGCGAGGCGGGAGGACGCGGTTGCCGCGGGGCGCGCGTCGAGGCCAGCGTCCCGCTGAGGGGGCGTCGCGCCGGGTCTCCCGGGGGGCCGGGTCGGGTCGCCCAGCCCCGCTCCGAGTGCGGACAGAGGCCGGCGAGGGGGCGCGCCCTGGGCGGTGGCGCCGGACGCGCTTGAGAAACGTGAGGCGCAGCCCCGGCGCTGCCCTGGCTGGGCTGCGTCGGCCGCAGGCTGTCCTTATGCACCGCGCCTGCCCTGGCCTGGGCAGCCCTGGCGCTGGCTCCCACTGCAGGCGGGAGCGGGGCTGGCGACGCCGCGGGGGAGTCGGGCTTTCGTGTTGGTGGCCGCAGGGCAGCACGCGCGGGTCTCATTGCCGTCTGCTCTTTCAGGATGACGACTTCAGGCGCTCTGTTCCCAAGCCTGGTGCCCGGCTCTCGCGGGTCCTCCAACAAGTATTTGGTGGAGTTTCGGGCAGGAAAAATGTCACTGAAAGGAACTACCGTCACTCCAGATAAGCGGAAAGGGCTCGTGTACATTCAGCAGACGGATGACTCCCTCATCCACTTCTGCTGGAAAGACAGGACGTCTGGGAACGTGGAAGACGTGAGTGTCCTTTAGCCTGAAGCGCGGCGGCTGCGAGGAAGGTCTGGCCTGGCTGCACCTGCACACGCAGCCACGGGGTGCGGGCAGGGTACTGGGGCTGCTGGTTTGGTGCCTGTCGTGCACTGTTCTGCTCATGGATGGTCCTGGACTTAAGGATTCTCTGTCACTGTGTCATGTTAAACTTTAAGTGTTAGGTGCCTGGGATTGGAGGAGTCACTGCCCTCAGAAAAGCTTTCTGCAGTGGTCACTTTATTTAGTATTCTCCGTTCTTTCTACTGAAATGTTTTGTTACGCTTGAGAGCAGGTCAGAGTTGACCTATTAACTGATCTTGGAATGTTGTTCCCCAAATGTCCCTATTGAAAATCCTCCGACGTCCCAAAGCCCACTTTCCCTGTTCTCCACCCGGCCCTCTCCTGGCCCGCACTCGGGGGTCGACCCTCCATGGTGGTGTCTCCGCCTTGTGGAGACTGTGCCAGCTCGAGACATGGCGGCTTGCTTATCTCTGTCCCCTCTGCACCCACCCCGTTAGACACAGGATCCAGCATGCTTTCCTGAGAGGCGGGGGACTCGGTGCCGTGTGTGTGCGTGAGGCTGACTCTGCTCTTCTCGTGGCTTCCCAGGACCTGATCATCTTCCCCGATGACTGCGAGTTCAAGCGGGTGCCCCAGTGCCCCAGCGGGCGGGTCTACGTGCTCAAGTTTAAGGCGGGGTCCAAGCGGCTCTTCTTCTGGATGCAGGTGTGTGGACAGGCTCGTCCTGTGTTTTGCCCTTTTCTTGCTGTTGTGCAATTAAGTTGGAAACTTGCCTACTGTCTGGTAAAACACACGTGATGAGAGGGAACCTAAGGTTTCCAGTGTGGCACCTGGTGGGGTGAAATGCTTGTTTGTGGCTGGGGGCTGGGCACCCTTTTATGGTAGGGAGTTTCCAGGAAGACAGGCTGGGCCCCATGTCGCTGAGGCACGCACAGGCACGCTGCTGCCTCTGGTTTGAACGACTCGGCGCTCGCCCTCTGTCCCCTCGCCTCAGTCACCAGACCCCCAGGGCAGAAGAGGTGGCCCTGGGTCGTCTGCTGTTCCTCCCCAAGCTCTCCTGAGCTTCCCCTGAGTGGGTGCCTGGGCTCGCTCACCCCAGCTGCGTGTCCTCTGAACCCAGGAGCCGCTGCGCATTCTGCCACCTGTTGGTGGCATTGGGCTCGTTCCCATGCTTGTGCCGTTGCAGGCAGTGTTGCCCCGAATCATCTGGTGTGCATGTTATTTCCCACATGTGAGGGTGGCCTGCAGGTTAGAGCTAGAAGTGGGGCTGCGTTCAGAGGTCTGCACGGGCTTCCTCTTGGGGAAGGGTCTCCCCCTCTGTGGGGCAGGTGGTCTGTGTCGCAGCTGCTCATCCCTGCCCAAGTAGCGGGGCAGCGGCGAGGACGTGAAAATGAATGGGTGTAGCCGGAGTTCCAGTTGAACTTGCAAACACAGGTGGGGGCTGTGGTTTGCCAACTGCTGGTGTAGAATGTGTTTCTCCACAGTTTTGCCAAAAAATGTTAACCAGCTTTCATCATCTCTCCTTTTTTTATTTCCTGATTTTACTCATTTGACACCTTTTTCCCCCTTCGCCCAGAGGGCAGGGACCGTTGGCTTGTCTTTGCTGTGTCCCTGGTGCCCTGCAGGGTCCATAGCAGGTGCTCGGTGGTTTCGGGTGCCTCTTCTCCCCGCCCCATGATGTGCATGTGTGCGCACACGTGTGCTGTAGCTCGGGCCTGCTGTGGCCCTGGGCAGTAGTGTGCTGAGAGGCCCGGTTCATTTCATTCCACGGGGTGAAGGAGGGAGAGCGCAGTGTAAACAGTCACACCCTGGAGCACGATGCTGTCACGGCTCTGGTGTCCCCATCTGTGAAGTGGGTGTCATCGGCACCCATGACGGTGGCAGAGGGGACTGAGCACTGAGCACGTGCTTACCTGCCTGGGCTCGGTCCTATCTCAGCGCCCTGTGGCCAGGCACGGGGGTCTCTACCTCTGGGTCCCTCATCCGTAAGCTGGGTTAGAGGAAGGCGATGGCGGCACTTGGCAGAGAACTGTCCCAACACTGGCTGCTCAGCTGCAGCTCTTCCCACGTCCCCCCACAGGAGCCCAAGACTGACCAGGATGAGGAGCACTGCCGGAAGGTCAATGAGTATCTGAACAACCCCCCGATGCCCGGGGCGCTGGGGGCCAGCGGAAGTGGTGGCCACGAGCTCTCTGCGCTAGGTGGTAATGAGCACACCCAGCCTTTCCTGTGAGGTCGGGGCCCCTGGTCGGCGACTTGGGCCCCTGGGGCGCAGGCCAGCTGTCGTGCGGTAGAAATAGCAGAGTCTGAGTTAGAGGGTCTGAGTTCAGTTCACGGGCGGTGCTCACTGCACAGTTCAGGGATGGCCGGAGGGGGGACCATCTGGGGTGCTCGGCTGGAGGCCCCCAGGAGCGGTGGTGCCCGCCCAGGCCCAGGTGCATTGCAGGTGGCTCTGCGTCCGGGCCCTGCGTCTGAGCCCCTGTGCTTTCCAGGCGAGGGCGGCCTGCAGAGCCTGCTGGGGAACATGAGTCACAGCCAGCTCATGCAGCTCATCGGACCGGCCGGCCTCGGAGGACTGGGTAACTTGCGCCACCCCCGGCTCTCAGGAGCCTTTGATGGAAGTTGGAACTTTGCTGTGATTGCTTTAAACTCAAGTCTTTGTTTCCTAATTTAAGTTTCTCATCTGCTCTGAGCAGGGCTGTGAGCGTGTGTGTTCCCTGCACTCATGGCCCTTTGGGAGGCACCTGTTGGCCTGTGGCTGGGCGCTGGGTGGGCGAGGCCCTCCAGGCCTCCAGTGAGGGCCCCAGCTTGGAACTGCAGGGGAGCGTGGCTAGCTGAGGGGCAGGGCCAGAGGACGAGCACTCAGGGCTCCTTCGTGGGGTCCCTAGTCCCTACTGGTTGGTGCTGCCAGCCAGCATTGGGGTGTGGGCGACTGTGCTTGGCCCTTCAGAAGTATTCATCACTTGGTCAGGATGTGGACTGCGTTTTAAGTTCATCAGTAGTGTATCGGGGTGGGACAGAGACGGATTCCAGAATCCATGGTCACTAGCCTGCCGTCCCCGAGGCCTGCCAAGTTCCCACCTTCCCTGCTTGTCCCTTGGCTTTGGTGTTGAAAGCTCCTGCCCCTTGGCCTGGGGAGGTGGGCCAGGTTCCTCCTGGGTGGGCCGGGCTTGGGGGAGCATCCTGAGCACATGCTCCCTTGCTCCTCGCAGGTGGGCTGGGGGCCCTGACTGGGCCGGGCCTGGCCAGCCTACTGGGGAGCGGAGGGCCTCCAGCAAGCAGCTCCTCCTCCAGGTGAGCCCTCGGCGCCCCACCCCGCCACACAGGTGCCCGTGGGAGGGGGACATGGACCAAACAGGCCTGAAGGAGGCCCCAGGGTAGTGTCCCAGGACCCTGGAGTAGGACGGCCATGTGGGCACCAAGTGGGTGTGTGGCTGTCTAGCGCCACCCTTGCTCTTGCAGCTCCCGGAGCCAGTCTGCAGCGGTCACCCCATCCTCCACCACCTCTTCCGCCCGCGCCACCCCAGCCCCTTCTGCTCCAGCAGCTGCCTCAGCAACTAGTCCAAGCCCCGCGCCCAGCTCAGGTAACGGAGCCAGCACTGCAGCCAGCCCCGCCCAGCCCATCCAACTGAGCGACCTCCAGAGCATTCTAGCCACCATGAACGTGCCGGCCGGGCCAGGAGGTGGCCAGCAAGGTAAAGAACACGCCCTGTCGGTGCGAAGCCGGGCTGAAGATGCCTGCTGCCTGCTCGCCGGCTCTGCGAGGCACGGGGCTGAGCCCCAGCTCGCCCTGCCCTGCCCCAGCCTTGCCACACCTGGTGTTTCTGGGGCTTGGAATGTTGCTGCCTTCTATGGGGCACCTGGGTCAGCATCGAGCCACTGACGGCTGTGTCTGTGTCCTAGTGGACCTGGCCAGTGTGCTGACCCCAGAGATCATGGCTCCCATCCTCGCCAACGCCGACGTCCAGGAGCGCCTGCTGCCCTACCTGCCCTCCGGGGAGTCGTTGCCGCAGACCGCGGACGAGATCCAGAACACGCTGACCTCGCCCCAGTTCCAGCAGGTAGAGGCCGGGCCCAGGGTGCTATCTGCTGTGCTTGAGGGTCGGGGAGGAGGCGGCTCTGCCCCACCTCCGGTGTGGCCCGTCACCTTGAGCACAGGACCTGCAGAGCTGGCAGCTGGCCCAGCGGCTCCGGGGCGCCGCCACCCCAGAGCTCAGGTCTTGCGCGGCTCTTCCTTGCAGGCCCTGGGCATGTTCAGTGCGGCCTTGGCCTCAGGGCAGCTGGGCCCCCTCATGTGCCAGTTCGGCCTGCCCGCGGAGGCCGTGGAGGCTGCCAACAAGGGCGGTAAGTACCTGTCCCCACACCTCCTGCCACAGTCCGTGTCCCCTGGGGCCGATGTCACACTGACCTTTAGCCCACCCCTCTGAGGAAGTCTGGCCAGGTGTAGACAAGCCACCTCGTGTCCTCAATGCGTTTTAGACGTGGAAGCGTTTGCCAAAGCCATGCAGAACAGCGCCAAGTCCGAGCAGAAAGAGGGCGACACAAAGGACAAGAAGGACGAAGAGGAGGACATGAGCTTGGATTAAGTTATTTGCTGTTGTCCTCCTGGGAGCTGCGTTCTTAGTCCTGTGACTTCAGTAGTGCGTTTGTGGTTTGTTGCACACCCTCTCCTCTGTTCCGACTTACTAATAAAGTCTTTCTTTTATCTGCCAACTGTGGCTTTGCGTGGTGCCCTCGCCCCGCCTCAGTGCACAGGAGGCCGCACCTCGCGGCTCCGCCCCCACAGCCTGGCGCCTCCCCGGCCAGCCAGTGTTCAAGTCAAGACTCAGTTCAACAGAAGTTACTTTTTAATCTCTGTTTCAGGGAGGAGGAACCAGTGATTTACAAATCTTACGCTATTTTTAAAAGGTGGACGGGAGAGAAAAAGTATAAAACCTCCAATTCATAGTATTTGATCCTTTCATTTAAAAAGATAGATATAACTTAAGCCATTTCCAGAAATAAGATTTGTCACCCGTACAGCTAGAGTCCAGATAAATACAAACGTCTGTGAAACACGAGCGAGGCCGTGCACGCCACCAAGCGGTGAGGGTGCTGCTGCCCACCGAGGGAGGACGTGCCCCTGGCCGGGGTCCCGCGGGGGCGGCACCTACGCGGCCGGGCAGCCCCCGGCTCCCACCGCCCCCTGGACCTGCGCAGAGGGAGGCACCGTGATGGGGGCCTGGTTCACCACCAGCTTCCGCATGCAGCCACGGTAGGCGGGGGGCCCAGGCCGCACCGCCGCGGGCTCTAGGGGTGCGGGGAAGACGGGAAGACTGGTTGGAGCAGCAGTTAGGGTCTCCCAGGCCCTTCCCGGGCTTCCATCACCCACCACCCACCCAGCCTGTCGAGTGGGCTGCCCCATCCTGGGAGTGGGGGTGGGAAGGGTCACCCTGGCCCCTGGTCTCCGAGGGGTGGCCCCTGCACCCTTGGCCAAGGCCACTCACCAGGCAGGCCCCCGAGGTGCAGAGGCGCTGGGGCGTGGGCCGAGGCTGCCAGCGAGGGCCCCGCGGTGTGGTTGCTCTGCGCGTCCACTTCCAGCCGGACCATGTTCCCGCCTTTGATCACTGCGGGGCAGACACCTTGTGGCCGGACCACCCGGCCCCCGTCGCCCCTCACGCCAGCCCATAGCTGCCCCTGCCCAAGTCCACCCAGGCCCCCCGGCCACGGGAGGGGCCCCTCACCTGCCAGTCGGTGCCAGTGGCTGTCACACAGCACCGCGGGGCGCAGCACTGACGTGGAGAACTCCCCTGCCCCGTCGTCCGCCCGCAGCAGGACCTGGAAGGGCAGGTGTCAGGCCCTGCCCCCGTGAGGCCACCAGAGAGGGGAGGTGAACCTGCCCTGGTGCCACAGCCCCCAGCCAGGCTTACCTGCTTCTGGAACACCTGCAGCTGCAGGTAGGGGGGGCCTTGGACCCGGCCCAGGTGGAAGATCAGCCCGGCCACTGCCTGGGGCCGCACCTCCAGTTCCAGGCTCACGTCGGGCAGTGTGGCCCCTGGGACATCTGCAGAGAGGGACTGTGAGGGGGCAGGAAGGCCGGGCCCCTTCGCCCCCCAGCCCAGGAGGCAGTGCCAACAGACCTAGCGTGACGATGCCCCCGCTGCCTGGAAAGAACAGGCCCTCCTCTAGGGGGCCCGTGACACAGGGCGTGACCCCCGCCATCCGCGTGGGGGCCCCTAGGGGCCTCCCGTTCAGCCTTAGTCTCTTCACGCAGCCCCTGAACCCGACGGCCACCTGTGGGGGGCAGATGGGCTGGGTCAGGCCCCAGGGCTACGGTGGGCAGATTGGGTCAGGCTGGGCAAGGCCAGGGTGACACGGGTCTCACAGGGGGCTTGGAGTGGTGGCTGCTGGCAGGGAGGCCCCCCACAAAGAGGGTGTGGGGCTGGGGGCGCTTCGGCCCCTGGTGCCGCCGGCGGGGCCCCTCCTTGCTCCAGGCCCAGCTGCCGTCTGTCCCCAACTGGATCCGACTCTTCTCCCAGAGCAGGGACACCTGGGCGGGCGGGCAGGAGGTTGGTCAGGGTGGGCCCTCCCCAGGCCCTGCCCGCGTTTCCCTCTTCGGGCCTCACCTTGTGCCACCGGCCAGTCCGTGCACGCTGGCGGCTCTGGATGCGGAGCCGGGGCCCAGGGCCTTGCGTCTGAGCGACAAAGCGTCCGTGGCTCAGGAAGAGCGCCAGGGAGGGGCTGCTGGCCGTCTGGGGGGTGGCGAGGAGCAGGAGGCCTTGGGGGGCTCGAGGGCGAACACGCATGGAGAGGCGGGGCCTGGAAGCCGGGCAGGGCGTCAGCGTGGGCAGCCCCTCCACGCCCACCCCAGCTGGCCGAGCCTTACCCGTCCCGGTGAGGGGCCAGGACGCCCGCAAACTCCAGGTGACTGGACAGGGAGCCTCCAAACTGGTAGGAATCTGGGAGGGTTTGGGGGTGCAGGGGCAGTGTGCAGGTGGGGTCCTGGATGGGCTGGCGGCTGCGGCGGGAGGCCTGGGGACACAGACAGGCCATGCAGGGCCCACCGGGGACTGCGCTCCCGCCAGCCCAGCCCTGCCCCCCACCGCTGGACGCCCACCTTCCCAGCTGCAGCTCGCAGTCCCTGCGGCCTTGGCGCTGGGGTCTGGGTTTGCGGGGCGGGGACACAGCCCGTGCTCACGTTGACGCTGCCCACGTTCTGCTGCAGATCGAACACGCGCTGCGGCCCCAGGAGCCTGCGGAGGGCGGGGGGCGGCCAGTCAGCAGCCGGAGGGGGGCGGCCAGGACCTCGCCCCCGGCCTGCCTGGCTCACCGCCGCACGAAGACATTGCTGATGCAGCCACTGAAGTTGCGGAAGGTGCCAGACTCAGGCAGGCCTCCCAGGAGCAGCCTTGCGGGCCCCTCAGGCTGCGGCTGGAGCCCAGGGGGCGGCCCCCGGTGGGACTTCATCTGTTGCAGCTGGTCGTCCACGTAGAGCCAGACCCTGGGGGGAGGAAGGCACTGTTGTCCCGCTGCCCTGCGTGCCCCCTCCTGCCACGGAGGGGACGGAGGCCCAGGCAGGTGCAGGCAAGTGTCCCTCCAGGCCCTGGTTGCTCGAGGCCAGGCAGCCAGGCTCACCCCGTGGTGTTGCTGTAGAAGGCGACGTAGTGGGGGGCTCCATCGGCAAAGCCCCCTCGAGTTTTCACCTCAGTCCTCAGCAGCCGGAGCGTCACGTGGCCCTGCTGCAGTGACACCTGGCATGGCCCGTCCTGGGGACAGCAACCAGGTCAGCAGCCAGGCCAAGGACCCAGACTCACTGGCTCCAGCAGAGCCTGCGGCCTGTGCCATGGCAGGTGGGGGGGTGGGCCAGTGGTCAGCGTGGCAGGGATGGGCCCAGGGAGCGCGGGGGGGCCGGCAGACGGGGTGGCCTCACCTGTGACGCCCGGTAGTAGAGCAGACCGCTGTCCTGGGCGCTGCGGAAGCCAAAGCCAGAGTAGACGTCGCCGGAGAGAGGCGCCACGTCCAGGAGTGCCAGGGGCAGGAAGCCATGGCCGTGGAAAGTCATAGCGCGCCCCACCTGCAGGAAGGAGGGCATCCCTCAGTGCCCGCCACGCCCAACCCAGCACCGGCCGCGCCAGGGAGGGGCTGCTCACCAGCAGGTCGGCCGTGCAGCCGGAGCTCACGCCCGTTGTGTTCAGCCGCTTGAGGTCCACGTACTTGCCCAAGGCCTTGATGCCCTTGACGCAGCCGCGGATGGAGCCTCCGGAGGGGAAGAGCCGCCGCAGGCTGCGGGGACGCAGGTCAGGGTGCCGCCTCCGAGACCCGGCCAGGCCGCTGTGGTCCCACCCGCCCCAGCGCCACACTCACCTCGGGGGCAGCTGATCGGGCGGCGCACCCCCCAGGTAGTAGGTGTCGGCCAGGTCCAGCACGTTGTCCTGCTCGACGCTGAACACCGTGGCGCGCTCGACGCGCACCAGCACACGCTTGCGGTTGCCGCCCAGCAGGAACACCTGGATCTGAGAGGCACCGGCGGGGGCTCCAGGCCAGCCACATCCCTGCATCCCACCCCCACGTCTGCCCTTGCTCGCCCGGCCCCTCCTGCCCCGCCCCCGGCCCGCCCTACCGCCTTGCTGGCCGCTGTCAGGGGTGGTGGGGGCTGCAGCGGGACGGCCTCCTTCAGGCCGGCGCCAAAGTCATACAGGAGCACGAGGCCGCCCTCTCGCACCGCCAGGCACAGGAACTGGCTCTGGGGGGACAGGGTGGGGTCGGCACGGGGTGGGGTCGGCACGGGGTGGGGTCAGCACGGGGTGGGCAGGGCCATGCCTGGTGCTTCAGGAAGAAGATGACCCCATTGTAGGACACGAGCCGCAGCTCCTGGTCGAAGCGCTTGGTGTTGCTGATCTGAGTGTCGAAGCTGATGCGGGCGAAGCCAGAGCCGTCCAAGTAGGAGCCGTCCGTAAGCCAGGGGTCCCCGGTCGATTTGGAGCTGCAGGTCGGAGGTTTTGGGGTCAGCAAAGGGCAGGCAGGGGGTGGCAGGCAGGGTACCAGGCCACACGTACCGGGCACAAGGCTTATCCACGGCCGTGTCCAGCTGGAAGGTCTGCTCAAAGTTGTAGAGACTGACCACGTCCTCGTTCAGCGTGTCCATCTCGATGCAGCCCCGGTAGCCGGGGAAGCGCAGGGGTGCGGGGGGCTGCGTGCAGGGTCGGAGGGTCAGGGGGCCTGGCTTAAGGCGCCTCCCCACCCAGGACAGACCCAGTGGGCCTCAGGCTGCAGCAGGAAGGACGGAGGCTGGATGCCAAGAACAAGAGGTGCGGGGCTGCCGAGCCCACCACAAGGCCGCCCTGAGGCCAGAGAAACTCACCGTGAAGTTGCTGGGGTAGCCCCCGACGTAGAAGACGAAGTCATCGGGCCGCAGGTTGAGCAGTCCCTCCGCCCCAGGTGCCACCGTGTCACCCTTGGTCTCATGGACCATCTGCCTCTCCACTGTGACGGACATGTGGCCAAACTGCAGGGTCCTGAGGGCAGAGGCGAGGGTGAGGAAGGGACGAGCGCCCCGCAGGAGGCACCGGGCCCTCCCAGGCCTCCCACCTGTCAATGCTGATGGCTGCGAACTGCTCCCCGATGTTCTCGTCGATGCTGAGGGCTGCGGGGCCCGCCTCCCCCAGCCGGTACACCCAGTGCACCTTCTGGTCACGCAGAGACACGCCCATGTAGTCCCCCGTGGCCTGTGGCGGCAGTGGAAACACGGTCAGGACAGGGACCAAGCATCGTCCGCTTCCAACGGGCTGCCCGGTGTGGGCCCCGTCCACCCAGCCGGCCTGGTACCTGGCGGCTGCCCATGTACAGCACAAAGTGGTCCCCAGCGTCCTGCCCGGGCGTCGGCTCTGGGCCCTGCAGGTAGAACTTGAGGGCCGTGTAGGCGGCGAGGTCGGCGAGGTCCCGTGGGGCACGCAGCTGCACCCCTGAGCGCCCGTTGAACTTCATGGGTACCTTGACCTGTGGGGGGCATGGTCCGTCAGCGCCCACTACCCAGCTCCCCACGCCCACCTCCCCCGAGACTGTCACCCACCTTGCCGGCGGCTCCCCGGGCCTGGGCGATGAGCTCCCGCACGCGCCCAATGCTGGCGGACAGGGCCAGGCTGGCGTTGTGTGCCCCGCGGTTCTCCAGGAGGCCCAGCTTGGCCAGCAGCTGCGGCAGAGTCTTCTCCAGGGTAGACACTGCAGGGAGGCAGGTGCGGCCCTGACAGCTCTGTCCCAGCCCGCCCCACCCCCGGGGCTGCGCGAGGGCCGCCAGCCCACCTGAGCGGCCTGCGTCGAGCACCGCCTGGCCCAGGTCCTGGCCCCGCAGGCCCCCGTACTGGCCCTGCCAGCGCTCCAGGTTCTCCTGCATGTCCCGCAGCTGAGACTGCACGCGGGCGGCCGTCTCCTGGGCTTCGGTGGCCACGGCCTTGGCGTGAGCGATCCTCTTGCTCGTCTCGTCTGCAGCGGGCAGAGCGCAGGCCCAGTGGCTTCGCGTCCCTGAGTCCCTCCGCCGGGCCAGCAGCAGGGATGCCTACCCACTGCCCTATCTCATGACACCCTCATACCCTGCAGCTCAGCGCAGTCAAAGCCGACCCTCAGCACCCCGCAGGTGTCCCCATCCCAGGACAGGCACCCGGCCCCTCAGGCCAAAGACGGTCCTGGGACGCCTGCCCCATGTCACCTCCCACCACTGGGTGCCCTCGAGAACCTGGAGAGACCATGTCGCGCTCCACCCTGAGCCTCTAGGAGCAGGAGTGCAGTCCCCACCGCCGTGGCTCCGGCCTTCCTGACCTGTCTCCGCACTCAGTGGCAGCGGCTGCCCCGGGGACGCCCTTCCCGCAAGCCAACGGGCCCCCAGGGCAAGCACCGGCGCCCCTTCCCAGAGCCGCATTCTGCCCAAAGCCCTTCCTCCCACCGGCCTCCACGGTGGCCTGGGCTGTGGTGTGTCTGCGGCTGTGGCCAGAGGCACGTGCCCTGGCAGCGTTCTGCGTCTGGCCCTGGGCTGCCTGCCCCGGGAGCCCCCTCAGCGGCACTGGCCCCAGCACGTGCTCCCCAGCCCCTCAGGCCAGTGTCCAGGGTCACACAGCCCTATTGGGCGGCCGACTACAGGACACCTCAGGCCTGCTGCCCCATTCACCTCTGGGAAGGCTCCTGCGTACCTGTGTCCATGGCCAGCATGGCCTGCACCTGCTGGATTTGGGCCACCAGCTGGTCCTTCTTGGCCCGGACGTCTCGGAGCTGGGTCCCGGTGCCTTGGAGGGTGGCCCGCACTGAGGGGGAGGCAGCCTTAGCCCTCGGCACTCGAGTGCAGCCCACCCCGGCCCTCTCAACCCCAGGAGGACCGAGGCCGATACGCAGACACGGACAGCCAGAGAGCCCAGACATGGGGGCCCTCGGCTTAGCAGGGGGCGCTGGACCTCGGGTGGCCTCCGTCCCTGAAGGCCTTCTGGCCCCAGCACAGGTAGGCTCAGCCCCGTCTCACAGACGAAACGCAGCGCTCGAGAAAGCCAGCTTGGGGTCTAGAGACCCCTTCTCACAGCTCGGCACGTGTGTGGCCCTTGGGCCAGGGAAGCAAGGGTCACACTTCCTCTGACCTCCTGGTCCCTCTGTGGCCTCCTGTCCCTGCGGGCCCCTTCACAGAGCTCCCTGGCTGACACGCCAGCGGGTGGGGAGCGGAGTGGCATTCACACACACGCAGCCGCCTCCAGAGCCTTCCCAACCCACAAACCCCACATACGGATGTGGCCGGAGGCCGAGGGGCCCCAGGCACCCTCCAGCGCTCACCGCGGCCCAGCCTCTGCTCCTCTCCTCGGACGGCCTCCTCCAGCGAGCTGCTGTTGGCCAGCAGCTGCCGGGCTCGGGCCGCCAGGCCTCGCTGCACCACCGTCTGCGGACACAAGGGCAGGTTGATGCTGCAGGGAGAGGCGGAGGCAGAGGAGGGGGTGGCGGGGCTGTGGGCGGGGCTGGGCCTCACCGCCCACGTGCGCTCTGCCTGCTGCAGGGCCTGGCCGGCGGCTCCCTCAGCAGCGCTCACGGCCTGCAGGATGCTGCTGTAGGCCCCGGACGCCTCGACGGCCCTCTGGATGAAGCGGTCCTGGTTGACGCCGAGGATGATGCTGTGGCGGAAGGCGCCAGGGTCGGAGGGGTGTCGGGGCAGGGCCTGGGCTGCGCCCGCCTCCCGAGTCCAGCCTCCTGGCCTTTGCCCACGCCCACCGCCTGCCAGGTGTGCCCATCCTGTTCCTCCCTGCCACTCTGGGCCCCACCTCCTGTGGGCTGAGGAAGGCCTGGTTCCTTGGGGGACGATGGCTTCAGCCCCGGGACCCTCCCAGAGCAGCTGCCCCTGGCAGGGGCCTGGGCTGCACCCCCAGGACAAGCCCAAGGCCCTCGTCTTCGGGCCACGCACCTGGACAGGTTGAGCGCCAGCTGGTCCAGTTGCTGCGCGTGGGCCTCGGCAGCCTCCACCAAAGCCGCCTTGCTGCCCGCTGGGGAGAAGGCCTGCGTCTTCCGCAGCAGGGGCATCCGGGCGCCGTCCAGGTTGGCGGCAAGGTGCTCCAACTCCTGGGAGCGGGTGGGCTTAGCAGACCCTCATCCTACTCGTTACTCCCCGCCCCGGCGCCCTGGGGGCCGCGCTCTGCGTGCAGGTGTGCACGAACGGCCTGGGACTGGGCCCGAGGGACAAGGAGGTGGAAGGTGGGGGCTGTGCTCACCTCCTTGGCTTGGTCCATGCCTTGCAGCAGCTCAGAGGCACGAGTCAGGGCATCCCTAGCAGCCTGCAGAGTGGCCTGGAGGGTGGCATTGTCCCGGGACAGCTCCTGCTTCCGTTGCTGCAGGCAGTTGGGGGTGGAAATAGGGGGTGAGAAGGGAGCGAGGGAGGATGGGGAGAGGAGGGGGGAAGGGGAGCAGCCCGGGGGTCCCTCACCAGGGCTTCCTCCAGGCGCTCCTGGTTGCGGCTGTTGAGCTCCTCAGCCTCCCGTGTGGCGTCCACCGCCCGGTTCAGGGCCTCACGCAGGTCCATGAGCCCAGCCTCGTGCCGGGCCAGCTGCTCGTGGGTGTGTTTGGCCAGAGCCTGGTTCTCCTCCCAGCGGCTGGTCAGCTGTTCCTGCACGCGAGCCAGCACTGGCCGGCACCAAGGTGCGAGGGTGGTTACCGTGGCGCCTGGGCCCCTTCACGAGCCCTGGACCCACCTGGTGCCCCTGGGCACAGAATCTGACGCGACTCCGTGCTGCCCTCCGCCCGAGCTCCCAGGCGGAGTCCCTGCCCCTCTCCGCCCTGCCTGCCAGGGACCAATGCCACTCACGCCTCTGGGCTGCGGCCAGCTCGGCCTCAGCTGCTGCCCGTGGGGCCCCCAGGTCACGGGCCCGCATCTCCCTGAGCAGCCGCTCCACTTCAGCCAGCGTCCGGCGCAGCTGCTCGCCTGAAGGGGCTGAGGCGTTGGCTGGCCACAGGTGGCCCATTTGGGACGCAAGCCCTGGGGGAGGGGGGCCGTCAGGGCTTGGTGCTGTCTGGACCGGCAGACCTCTGCCGGCCAGCTCCCAAGCCTGAGACCCCCCACCCCAGCACGCAGGCCCCCAGCATGGCTCCTGCCGACACCCAGACCCGGTCCGCTCAGCTCCCATGGCCTCCTCCTTCCTTCCCTGCCCCTCCACCTGGCGGGCCCCTGCTGGGCTGGAATTGCACCCTCGGGCTGGGCCAGGGCCCGGTTGCAGGGGTTGAGGGAGCTCTGATCTCTCGAGCCCACAACTAGCTCAGTTTGTAATTAAGGAACCGGTGCTGCGAATATCCAGCCAGCCCGTTTCCAGGGAGCGCGTAAGGGCCTGCCGTCTTCCGCGGTCCACTGCCCTCGCTCCTGGCCACGCTGCTGCTGCGCCCGCCTCCCGAACCCACCCTGCTTTCTGCTCAGAGGTGCCGTCTCTCTCCCGTCTGAACAGGTGAACCTGCTTGTTCTTCGAGGCCGAGCTCTGCCAGTGACCCCCCCAGGAGCGCCCTGCCCTGCTCTGAGCCCCGAGCACGGCCAGCTGCGCCAGCCCCTACCGCTCAGGGCGCGGTCTACAGCCTGGATGGCCGCCAGCAGCGTCTGCGCTCGGCCCAGCGTGGCCCCGGTTTCATCTCGCAGCCGGCCCGCCCGGTCGCGGGCCCCCGTGGCCTGTGGGTGCAGCCACCGTCAGCCCACAGCCCTGCTGGCAGGGGAGTGGCTGGGGCCTGGGCAGGCGTGTTGGCGCCTGAGCCAAGGGTCAGGACTGGCAGAGGAGGGCCCAGGGTCTGGGGCAGCCGGGGAGTTGGGGCAGTGCTTGAGGGTGCCAGGGAAGAGGGGCCTCTGGGTGAGGGTCTCTGGGAGGGGCTCTCAGAGGGGGATGGGGGCCACCAGGGGAGGGGTCTCCAGGTCCTGCCTGGCTGCCCAGCCGCTGTGCGTCCTGCCCGAGCCTCGCGCTCTGCTCCTCCAGTGCCTCCAGCTGCCGCACCGTCTGGTGGCGGGGACCCGGGGGCCTCCGGAGCTGGTCCTGTGGGGGCGAAGGTGAGTGCTTGCGCCGCGGGCAGGGGGCGGGGAGGCGGGGCGCTCAGTACCTGCAGGTCTGCGAGGGAAGCGTTCAGCCTCTGCAGCCGGGCCCAGGCCACGGAGCTGGCGTTGACGCCGCGCAGCTGCTCGCGGATGACGGGGAGGAGGGCGCCAGCCCGCTCCAGGTCGTCCAGGAGCAGGACCACGCAGTGGTCACACACTGTGGGCAGTGGGGGCTGTCAGCGTCGGGGGTGGGGGTTGGGGGAGGGGGGTTGGCTGGGGCCCTGGGGTCAGCGTGGGAATCGTGGGGTCCCTTGGGAAACCAAGGGGGCCAGTTGGCACCACTCCGGGAGGTCGAGATTAATGCAGGGGCGCCGGGCAGTGAGGTGGGGTGGGCAGGGCACAGTGTAGAGCGGGGCACACCTTCGCAGTGGACGCCACGGCCCCCAGGCCCGCCCGGCACAGGCACCTGGTGCTGCTGGCTACAGCTGTCACAGCGCTCGCCGCTGAGCCCCGGGGGGCACGTGCAGTGGCCTGTGTTGGGGTCACAGTGGCCCCCCGGGCACTGGCAGCCTGTGGTGGGAGGGGTGGGGTGAGCATGGCCAGCGGGGGCCTTGGGGTGCCACTACCGAGGTGCCCGCCGCCCTCCTGTGGCTGTGCCTGCACTCACGCCTGCACCCCCGCTCGGGAAGCCCCCAGTAGCCGGGGGCACACTCGCGGCACTGGGGTCCCCCAGCCCCTGGTCGGCAGTGGCACTGCCCGCTCTGCGGGTGGCACTCAGAGCCCTCGGCAGCCGGTCCGCATGCACACGGGCGGCAGCCCCCACAGCTGTCGAAGCCGAAGTGTCCGTCCTGTGGGGATGGGCCGCTGTCAGGGCCCAAGCCTGGTCCCCAACCCTGAAGACTCTTCCTCAACCCCAAGGCCAGGGTCCTGCCCACCCGGCCCTGCCTCTCCCGAGGCCCTGCCCCAACAAGCCCCGCCCCTCCCCATGCCCCGCCCAGCCCTACCTGACAGCGGTCGCAGCGCAGCCCTGTCACTCCTGCCTTGCACAGGCAGCGCCCGCTGTGGGGGTCACAGGCCTCTGTCCCGCATGGGGCGCAGTCACACCCTGCAGAAGGGGGTTGTGAGGACAGCCCTGGGCCCTCCCACTTCCTTCTGGAAGCTCTCACACGCCCAGCCTGTGCTCTGCACTGCTGCCTCCCTGCCCTGTCTGGTCCAGGCCTCCTGGACGATGCCGCTGTCCTCTCACGGTCCCAGCCTGGCCTTCTCTGCAGCTGCCCCCGCTCGACTCCCTGCCGCGGCCTGCCCTGACCTGACAGGCGTGGCCGTGAGCCCGGGGCTCTGACGTGGGGAGGGCCCCACCATGCGCAGGGAGGGGGCTGCCTGTGGGGGTCTGACCGTGAGCCCAGGTCAGGCCTGGTCCAGGTTCGTGTCCACGTCGTCCGGGCTGGGCCCCGCGCCAGACACAGCCTGCTCCTGGGGCACACCCAGCTGTCCCCTACTGCTCGTGCGTCCCTCCCCGGTGCGTCCCTCCCCGCCGAGCACCTACGGGTGCAGTTGCCAGGCAGCAGGGCATTGCCGTAGAAGCCGGGAGCACAGCTCTCGCAGCGGGGCCCGGTGGTGTGGCGCAGGCAGCTACGGCAGGCGCCTGTCAGGGGGTCACAGTCACTGAAGAGCAAGTTGGGGTCACCGTTGCCGCTGCAGTCACAGGGCTGGCAGGAGCTGCCCAGCACCAGAGGGTTCCCGAAGAAACCGGGTGCACACCTGGGGGTGGTCGGGCAGGGGAGGGTGCCATCAGGAGTCTGTGCCCTGCCCCCCACCCGTGGCGTCCTGTGTCAGCATACAGGCCCCACCCCACGGCCCCGTCCCCAGCTCACCGCTCACAGGAGGCCCCGGCGTAACCGGGTTTGCAGAGGCACTGGGCGTGGCCGCCTCGCAGGACGCAGCCCTCGGCGAAGCTGCAGGGACCGGTGGCAGGTGGTGGGTCACTAGGCACGTGGCACCACCTGGGCGAGCACCCCTGTGCTCATGCTGGGCCGGGTGTCGGGGTCCCTGCCTAACAGCCCCACCCTCGCTGCCCAGGTCCCCCTAAAGGGCAGCGTGAACCCAACCAGCCGCTGGACACCGGGGCTCCGGGACGGGGCTGTGGAACGAGCATGGCTGGCGCTGGGTCCGGGCCCGCGGGGGTGGCGCAGCTTACTTGTTGGAGGGCACTGCGAGGGGGCAGGGGCAGCTGACGCAGGGGGCTGTGGGGTCCCCGGGCCTGCTGCTCACAAAGCCGGCCTGGCAGCGCTCACAGCGGTCCCCCTCGGTGTTGTGCTGGCAGCCCTGGGGCAGAGGGGACAGTCAGTGCCTGCAGCGGGGGCCTTCAGCTGCCCCCCGCCCTACCAGGGCACTTCCCTTCTCCCTGGACCTCAGTTTACCCTGACAGGCCTGACCCTCCCCCCAGGCCCCCGCTCACCACGCAAACGCCAGAGCCAGGGAGGCAGCGGTCCGAATGGCCGTGGCACTGACAGAGGACGCATCGGCCCAGGAAGAGGCCTTTGACGTCCCGGTAATAGCCGGGCGCACATTCCTGGGCAGGGGGGTGTCAGAGGTGAAGAACGGAGAAGGGCCTGCCCGAAGTGGGGCGACCCTGGGGGCACCTGCGTTCAGCAGCCCAGCACTGGCGGTGTGGGGGCACATGCCCACGGAGCACAGCCACTGTGGGGTCAGAGGTCAGGCTGCGGTCAGGACTTCCCGGTCCTGCCCCGCTGGGGTGGGCCAAGCATCTGGCTGCCGTCCCCGAACATGAGGACACAGCTCCCAGAGGCGCGCAGATGTCCTGGCCAGGGAGGACCCGGCTGGGGCTGGCGACCTCCCCGCCATGTGCTGGGCCTTCTCCTGCTAGGGGTGGTCGACCGCAAAGCCCCTCACGCGGCAGGAGCAAAGCGAGAGAGGACGGACAGATTCGCGGGTGGATGGAAGGTAAGGGAGGTAAGGGTAAGGGAGGGCGTGGGGGCTCAGGTGATGTCGGTCGGGATGGTGGGCGGAGGATGGGTGAGGCCAGCTGCGTACGGGGCAGAGCAGGCCCGCAGGAAGCTGTCGGGAAGGCAGGGTGGCGGGAGGAGAGAGCGGAACGGGGACGGGTGGCGGGGCGGATGGAAGGGCAGACGTGGGGAGGATCTTGCAAGAGGGGCGTGCGTGGAGGGACAGACAGCCTGCGCCTGGCGCCCGCGCTGACCAGCTCACCTGGCACGAGTCCCCGCGGTAGCTGGCAGGGCACATGCACAGCTCCACGTTGCTGGCTGGAGGTCCCCCCGCCACCTCGCCGGCCACCTCCAGCGCCACCCTGCGCAAGGAGACGGCCGACGAGGTCTGCGAGAAGAGTGCGCGGATCTGCAGCTGCTCCAGGCCGGCCAGCACCATCATGAGCTCCTCGCGGGACACGGCGCTGTGGGTCTCCACATGCCGGAAATTACCCTGCGGGTCCAAGATGGGACCTCGGTGGGGCCACAACCAATGGGGCAGCACAGGGATCCCAGAACAGACCCTCGCTGTCCCCCTGTAGGGGACAAAGGGCCACGGAGATCACAGGGGCAGGAGGAGACACACGCACGGCTGTCACCACGGGGACAGCCAGCTCCGAGAGCCCTGCCTCACCCCACGTACAAAAGTCAACTCCAGATACGTTAAGAATCCAAACACGCAGCGAAAACGTTTTCAGCATTTAGAAGAAAACATAGGAAGTGTGTTCTGATCTCGGAGACACAAACTTTCTCAAACACAACATGAAACCACCAGCTGGGAGCGAACGCTGGGCAAATTCGAGTACACGGGGTGCGAAAGCCGTTCCAGAGCTACCATAGGGAAAGAACGAGCGACAAACTGGGAGGACGATCCCTGCTCCGAGTGCGACAAAAGGCACGTGCCAAGAACAGCACACAGTCCTCTGGGAAGACGAGCAGAGACCAACGAGTCCAAGACAAACGGCAGAAGAGGCCGACAGGCGGCTCAGAGGTGGAAACCAAACACCACCAAGCAGCGGACACGGACAGCCGCTCGCCCCCCGCTGGTCACGGACTCACACACGAGCCAGGGGCAAGAGCGTGACAGCCACGAGTGACCAGACGGAGGAAGCCCGAAGAGAGCTCGGACCCACTAGCCGCCCGCCCTCCTGTTCCTGGACTCTGTTTTCCATCACGGAGAATGGGCACGAAGCCCGGGGCCCCTTCTGGACCTGGGTGCCTGGCCCAGCCCCACCCACCTCCACTAGCTGCAGCTGCCCACGGTGAACGTGGCCGGGTGCAGGGTACGCCGGCTCCAGGAACGTGATGCTCATCTGGTTGCCCTGGGGAGGCACACATGCCTGGTGAGGGCCGGATGCTGGGCCCGGCCACCGTCCCACGGGGCCAGCTGCCTGCCCGGTGCCCCCAGACTGCCACCTGCAGCACCACGTCCGGCCGGCTCTCTGTGGGGATGAAGACGTCCCCCCGCTGGGTCTCCGAGTGCAGCTCATAGCGGAGGGTCCCACCGTAGGACGACACCTAGAAGCAGGACAGGGAGATGACCGGGCTGGACCCTGGCCACAAGCTCAGGGCCCGACAGCAGTGGTCTCACCCCCCAGCACTGCACCCCGGGCCAAGGGCTCCCCACCCCTGGACGTACTCCTCTGCCCCTTCCCCGTCCTTCCAGGTCCTGGCTGTCCCGGAAGTGCCCTCCCTAGACGCGACGCCCCTGCTCACCCGGTCCCCCAGGTAGGAGGGCGGGGCCTGCCAGTACAGCTCGGGGAAAGCCTCGGGCACGTGCCGCAGGTCCGCGTGGAGCAGCTCTGTCTCTGCCCGCCGCTCGTGGGGCACCACCTGCCGGTCACCGCTCAGCAGCACCCAGCCCTCCATGTCCACAAACTGTGGGCACACACCGGGGGTGCGCAAGGGTGGGTGCCCACACCCACAAGCCCCGCCCTGCATTCCAGCGCGCCCTCCCCGAGAAGGTGACACCCCAGCCCCAGCCCCTGCGGCGCACCTCCCGGCGGGTGTAGATGGAGCTCCTGCAGCGCTCCGTGGCCCCGAAGCAGAAGCAGCGGGTGCAGCCTTTGGGGTTGGCGGCGTCGAGGGAGAAGGTCCCGAGGCGGCACTGGTCACACCTTGGGCCCTGCACGTTCTCCTGGGGGCAGACGGGCAGCGAGGTCAGCCAGCCGTGCGCAGGGTGCCCGACCCCACGGGGCTGTCACCCACTTGCCCACTGGGACAACTCCCCCAAAAGCTTCCGGGAAGCTCCCCTTGCCCAAGGCTGTCATTTCAGCTGACCTTGCAGTGGCACTGGCCCGTGAGGGGGTCACACACTCCGGGCACAGTGCCCGCCTCATGGCAGTCGCAGGGCCGGCAGCTGGGAAAGCCGTGGAAGCCCGGAGCACAGGTATCGCAGCGGCGCCCGGCCACGTTGGGTCTGCACCTGCCGGGGGCCAGGAGCCGGCTGAGCCTCCCTCCAGCCCCGGGTCACTAAGGCCGAAGTGGGAGCCCGCAGGCGTCCCCCACCCAGGCAGCATCCTCCGAGAACCGCGGCGAGGGCGTGGTGGACCCAAGGAGCACTAACTGGGGCAGGGTAGGCGCCAGGACCTGCTGGCGAGCGGAAATGCCAGAGGCCGCAGTGACGCCTGCCCCGGGCTCTCACTTGCACTGGCCGCTGTCTGTGTCGCAGGCGGGGTCCGTGAGCTCCTGGACGCCAGGCCCCGAGCAGTTACACTCCGCACAGCCAACCAAGGGGTGGCAGCCGAAGGTCTGAGGCTGGCACAGCAGGCAGTCGGGCGGAACGGTGCGCGGGGGGCAGATGCACTGGCCCGAGAGCTCATCGCAGAGGCGGGCGCCGCAGTCGCAGGCTGCAGGGTGGGCACAGGGCTGCCTGACACGCCGCCCTCCTCACGCCCACTCAGAGGCCCCGACTGCCGCCCTGGGGGCTGTGTCCCTGCTGGGCCGTAGCTGCCCCCAAACCGATGTCTAGCTGGGGGTGGGGGGTGACGGCAGAGCACCTGCTGGTCCCAGAACCTCCCGGGCAGTCCGAGGGTGGGGTGGGCATCCCGGGCATGGGCCGTAGCTGCCTGAGGTCCACAGACAGGACGGGGCGGGGCTGGCCCGCCAGGATCCAGTGTTCTGACCGCTGTGCCTACGCCTCCTGGCTGAGCCCCCTCCACTGGGAAGGCCCCCTTGAACTCACTGCCAACCCCCACGCCTGGCGCTCCCACGCCTGGGCACTCACGCCTGCAGCTGGGGAAGCCCCAGTAGCCGGTGGCACAGCGGGAGCAGTCGCGGCCGATGACGTGGGCGCGGCAGGGACACTGGCCCCCGAAGGGCTCGCATGTGGGGCCCATGGCACCCACTTCGTGGCAGCCACAAGGCCGGGCCCCGTTGTTATAGAAGAGGGAGAGGGAGACAGCGGCATTCCGGCAGAACAGGGTCGAGCTGCTGGGGCTGCGTTGAGCGGCAGGCAGTGAGGCCGGCGCCCCGCCCAGGTCCAACCCAGCACCCCACGGGGTCCACCTGACACAGTAGCCTTGGCCAGCGCCCCGGCAGGTACCCCCCGGCCCCGCCCAGCACCCCGCCCGGCCCACCTGACGTGGTAGCCCTGGGCAGCACACTGGCTGATGAAGTCGTAGGACTTGTCTAGGGGCTCCTCCCTGAGGTAGCTGGAGCTGTAGGCGTCCTCGGGGATCACGAGTACGTAATCCTAGGGGGTCGGGAGAGCACGGCCAGAGCCCACAGGTGGGCAGAGCAGCAGGGGAGGCGCCCAGGGACTGGCCAGGCACCTGGGCCACTCAGAGAGGCCAACCTCAGAGGCCAAGGCTGCAGTGGCGTTGATGATGCTCCTGGCATCTGCCGCAATCCCCCCCTGCTGGGCACACCTTCCTCCTCCCTCCCCCATCACCCAAGCCCACCTCCTCCAGGAAGGCGGCCCTGACCGGCAGGGCCCAGGGGGCTGGTGGGACAGTGCCTCGGCTCTCAAGGCCCCCTGGAGCCTCACAGGCAGATCTGGGGGTTTCCAGAGGTAGAGGCTGCTGCCCTGGCACCGGGCACAGGGCTGGGCCCCACAGGAGACACACCCGGCTCAGTGACCCATGGTGGCGTGACAAGCGTAAGGATAGCCGGGCCCGAGCGAGATGCCAGCCTGGACTCACCAGCCAGAGCCAGCGGCCCTCGGGCACACGCACGGTCACGGTGAGCTCGCTGTCGGTGACGTCCAGCAGGGCCTGGCCCTCACATACCACCAGGGTGCGGCAGCCGTAGCCATGCGGGCAGAAGCTGGTGTTGGCATGGCCTAGAGGGGGAGGAAGGCACGGCTGGGCCCCCACACCCACCCCGGGGCCCAGGACGCTCCTGGAGACACCAGGGGAGGGAACACAGACGGTGGTGCTGGGGCCACCAAGGAGCGCCCACTGGACACAGGCAATCTGCCCGCTAGGCCGGCCCATTGTGCCATGTGGGTCAGCCGTGGTCACACACGACACCCCTTGGGCAGTCCCTGGGCTTGCCGAGAATAAAACACACTTAAGGACTGTGTGAGCCACCAGCTGCTGTCCTGGGTCGTGCTCTCGGTTCACTGTGTGTGACGGGACACAACAGGGACCCCACGGCCGAGGCAGGCATGGGGCTGCGGAAGGGGGGCAAGCTACCACCTGGAGCCCTGGGCACCCAGTTTGAGAACTGATAGCAGGACAGGGCTGTGTGGACCCATCGCTCACGGCCAGGTACCGCAGGCCACGCTGTGGTGCGTGTGATCTGGCCACGTCACGTGGCACCACCCACCCAAAACGCTCACCCTGCCAGACGCGGCCCCCGTTGACAAGGACCTCCACGGGGAAGGTGGGGTGGGCCGGTTGGTAGCCGTGCAGCAGGAAGGCGTAGCGGCCCAGGGCGGGCACGTGGGTGGTGAAGACCACGGTGCCCTGTGGGGAGAGGCCGTGGTGAGCGGCAGAGCTGTGGGGCCCAGGACTCCCGAGCAGCCCGGCGTGGTCCGGCCGCCGCCCTGGGCGCTGAGAGCTCCACCCCGACGCACAGCCCTGGCCCGGCCCGCGCCCTCACCTGGGGGTGGCGCAGCAGGGTGGGCTCCGTGTCGGGGTCCACGGCGGTGGGGGGCCGAGGCTGGGGGCTGGCTGGGGGTGTGCCCGGCGCGAGCTCCTGCGAGCGGGTCAGCGGGAGGCCGGGCGGCAGCGGCAACACCTGGCAGTCCCTGAGCACGACGGGCTGCGGAGGCCTCGGGAAGCGCGAGGGCAGACAGGCGGCGCTGTGGGAGGCAGCGAGTGAGTCCGAGCCACCCCGGCCCCGCCCCGGCCCTCTCGCCCTGCTACCTGCTGGGGCCGAAGGTGCCGTGGCTGCTCACGCAGTGGACCCGCGGCTCCACGAACTCCGGGCTGAACTCCTCCACGGGCACCAGGGTGACGCGGTGCTGCGGGCAGAGACCAGAGGCCGCGATGCCGGGGACAGGTGGACGGGAGGTGCAGGTGGTGTGGGGATGGCTGGCCCACAGCGCAGACCCCCGGAGCCCTGTCTGAGCTCAGGCGTCCGGCGGAGTCCGCCCCCGCCAGCTACAGCCGCACAAGCCCCCCACTGCGCACGGCACCAAGTGGCGGCTCCTCCTCCTCCCACCCTCATCCCGCGCCCCGGCGCCCCACAGGACTGGCACCGGCCAGCTCAGCAAGCACAGGCCGCAAGCGGGTGTGCCCGTCCCTGTGCCGTCGCCGAGACGCAGGTACACGTGGGACAAATACAACACAGACGGCAACTCACGAGGCCCTGCAGTGCCACACAATGGCAGGCAACACGCAACATCCGCGGACGCTACTCAACAGAACACACTGTGATCTTTTATAGAACGTTCCAGAACAGGCAAGCGACCAACGCTGTCTGTGCCAGGAGGTGGCTACTTTGGGGCATATGGGGTGGGGCCTTGTTATTTCTGGGCGGGGGCACAAGAGCAACGTGGGGCGCTGTGACCGCCGGGACTTTCCTGAGCGTGAGGCAGCCCCGTAGGAAACTGACGACGACCTAGTCCGTGCGGCGCTGGGGGAAGGGAAACCGCGGGGGATGGGTTCTGGAAGAAACGCATGGGGCGGGAGGCCGGTGACGGGGTGGGGGACTTGGGACCCTAGTACCGTCCTCTTCTGAGAGCAGCTGACCCCGCGATGGGGCGAGGGCGGGGCCTTACCAGGAAGAAGCGCGCCTGCTCAGCCGTGAGCCGGACGCTGGCCTCCGAGTCCAGCAGGAAGACAGCCAGGTGGTGCTGGGCGTCTAGGGCCGCGCCCCGGCACAGGGAGCTGCGGGGAGGGGCGGTCAGTGGTGGGGCAGCCCCGGCTGAGCCACACACCTGGCCCCACCCCACTACGGCCCACCTGTACGGGCAGGGGTGGAGAGTGAGCACCCCCTGCTGGGAGGCCCGTTGGGGGGTCTGCACGGCCACGCCCAGCTCCTGACGGGCGTCCTCATTGGCATACTCCACCACCAGGGCGTAGCGGCCTGGCCGCGGCACTGTCACCTGGAGCTGGACGTCCACCTGGGGGAGCACAGGGTGACCATAGGGCCTCACCCCGGGCCTGCTTGGCACCGCTGGGTCCTGGTGCCCAGGACAGCTCTGGGTAGGGGGAAGGACTGGCCCGAGTCTGCAGAGGCCGCAGCTGACCCACCTACAGACGGGCACCAAGGTGTGCCCACGGGGACCACACGTGCCAGGCTCTACCACCCGGGGCGTTGCCTGGCACCCCCTCCCCTGCACCTGTGTCCTGCCACAGGACCCGCACCCCTGGGCCCAGGTCCTCTGCGCCCACCCCTCCATGGGGTCCCGGGACACGCACGTCACTGCCCAGGCAGGCGGCCAGCAGCGGGTGCGAGGGGCTGAGCTGCTCTGTGGGGCAGGGCCGTGGCAGGCTGTTGTCGTGGCGACACAGGGCCTCAGGCCCGACGGCCGAAGGGAAGCCATCCAGGGGGAGGTGGGTGTAGAGTAGGCAGCTGGCGGGACACAGGCTGCGGTCAGCACCAGGCGCACCCAGGTCCCCAGGGCAGCCTGGGCACAGTGGGGTCCAGCCCCACCCAGTCCCGCGTGGGCCTCACTTCTCCCCGGAGCGCTGGGCAGAGGGGCGGTAGGTGCAGGCCTCGGTCACCCGCAGCTGCAGGAGGGCCGCCTCGTAGTAGGCGCTGGGCAGCAGAACCACGTAGTCCTGGCAGAGGGTGGGAGGTGGGTGCGGGGCCGTCGGCCCAGGCCCCGCCCCACCCCTCCCAGGCCCGCACTCACCAGGAGCACCCCTTCGGCCTCCACGAGCAGGGCCCAGGCGCCAGGGTTCAGCACAAAGGGCTCCCCAAATCCCCGCTGGGGCACGGTGACGAAGGCAGGCTCCGTGCTGGGCGGGAAGGCCACGGGCTGGCTCTGCTCCGTGCCTGCGTGGGGCGTGGGGCGTGGGGCGAGACCCCTGAGCTCAGCCCTCGGGGCCACCCGGGCTGCACCTCCCCCACCCACACCTGGGCCTGGGCGGGGCCAGCCCCACGGCCCCACTCACAGTTGGCGCAGGCGGCAAACTTGCCCTCCTCTCGCATGGAGACCCGCCCGCTCACACTCTCGGGCCCGCGGTTGACATAGCGGAAGACGAGCCAGAAGAGATCAGGGGAGGTCAGGTTCAGTCTGGCCACGATCCTGGGCTGGGGGCAGGAGGACACCAGGTCACCCTCCCTGGCCACTGCCAGCCTGGTCCTGGGCCCCGAGGGCCACCGGTACCCACCTGGATGGGCGTCATCTGTGCGTAGCCCCTCCAGCTAAAGTTCTCGAACTCAAGGGGGTTGAAGCCAAAGCGCAAGGCGTGGCCGTCGGGCGTGGCTGCCTCCTCCAGCTCCAGCCGCAGGTGGTGCAGGTCGGGGAGGTAGTGGTCCCTCGCAGGCCTGGCCACAGCGGGGGTTGATCAGGGCAGCCCAGCCAGCCCGTCTGGGCTGGGGAGGCATTGGCCCCACGCAGCTGGCTGGGCTCTGCGGGGACGGCTGGGACCCCTGTGGGCCCATGGAGAGGGACGAGGGGAAGCCCAGAGGACAAGCTGCCCACCAACCCCCAGCCCAATCAGGCGGGGCACCCACTCGCTGCAGGTGGGGCCCTGCGTGTTGGGGCGGCACCGGCAGGCGCCAGTCCTTGGCTCACAACCCTGGCCCAATGCACCACCGACGTCACACCGGCAGCCTGCGTGGGAAGGAGTAGGTCAGACGCTGCCCAGGCCCTGCCCAGCTGCGGGGACCCCCATGGTCCCCAGCTGAGGGCCCTGCTCCTGCCCTCACAGATAGGCCCACTGGCCTCTGCCACCCTGGGCTGAGAACAACGGCAGCTGAGAAGCCGACTTTTATGTACTCGCAGGGCTGTCTGGAGCTCTGGGGACCAGAGTCCAGGCTCGGGTCTAGGACCAGGGGCAGGGTGGAGGGGAGAGGGCTGTGATCAAGGCAGAGGCTAAGCCTCCTCCACCCCAGCACGGGCTGGCTGGGCCCCGAGAGCCACCCAGGGGATACCAGTGCAACACCTGGGCCTGGTTGTGCTCGGGCCCACCTCTTCTCCCAGGCCTCAGCTCCCCCCATGTGAGCCCCAGAAGGCAGGGCTGTGGCCTGAGGGCCGAGGAAGGGGGTGCTCACTGCGGCAGCCAAAGTAGTCAGCCTGCTCCAGGCCGAAGAAGCCGTCCTTGCACGCTGCGCAGGTCTGGCCGCACACGTGGGGCTTGCAGAAGCACTGGCCGCTGTCCTGGGGGCCAAGGGAGAAGGTAGGAAGGGGTGGGGGAGGGTCTCGACATGCCCCGTCCAAAGCCCCCAACACCCTGGTCCTCAGACTCACCAGCTGGCACTCGGCAACTCCACCCAGCGTACCCCTGGGGTCGCAGCTGCAGCCTAGGAGGGCAGAGTAGGTGGGGGGTGGGGGGTAGGGGATGGGGGTAGGGGGCCGGGGGCCAGGAGGGCCCACCCTCAGACCTCCCCAGCACCCCACCTCCCATCAGGGCAGACTCACGGGTACAGCCCTCAGGGGTGCTGGGGCTCAGCCCCCAGAACCCGGGTTTGCAGCGATCACAACTTGGCCCCTCCACGTGAGCCCGGCACATGCAGGAGGCCTGTGCCTAGGAGAGGAGGAGACTGCAGGTCAGGGTAGGTCCCTTCCCTCTTGCCCACAAACCCTTGCCCCAGAGCCCTGACAAGGGGCAGGCATCTGGGGCGGGGCAGAGGACCATCCCCAGGAACGAACAGGCCCTGGGGCTGCCGTGGCCAGCAGCAGCAAGAGGCTGCGGTTTCACGGGGCTCAGGACGGGGCCGGGCCCTGGGGCTCACCTCAGGAAGTGCAGGATCAGCCGTAGCCAGGCCGGCAGGGTGGCAGGAGCCTGCTGTGGAGGGAGAACCCAGTGAAGGCCGCTCCTCAACGACCGACCCTGAAGGCCAAGGGCCACCAGGCCCCGCCAGAACCCACGGCCCCCTGGAGGCGGGGAGCGCGCATGCCCACCGTACATGTAGCAGGCATGAAGACGCACACCTCCTGCCCCGGCCCCCAAAGCGGCAAGGGCACGTGCCACACCCCCGCCGCCACTGCACACGCTGTCAATATGCACACAAGCACGCATCGCACATGACACTGTGCATAGCATATGGACATGCATGAATGAGCACACAAGAACATGCATGAACATGCATGAACACTCACCCACTACATGTGAATGTGCACAAAGAACAGCCGTACGAACATGTGCTTCAACACTAAGCACCCACACGTATAGCACGCAGACGTGTGTAGTGCCTACAGTGTGGATGCGTGTTCACTCACATTCACTCGCACAGTGCGTGACAGCCACGTGAACACAGAGTACATGGACAGAACACACAGCACGTGGACACACACGTGATCAGAATCACAGGAACACACAGCATGTGAATGATACACAGACACGCATGGCACCTGAGAGCACAGCCCGCTGCCTGTCCCCAGCCCGCTCACCCTCGCAGTAGGGGAAGTTGTAGGCGCCAGGCACGCACGCGTCACACCGCAGCCCGGTCACACGGGGCCGGCAGCTGCACTGCCCGCTCCGGGAGTCACAGGCTGCGTGCAGGGCACCGTCGGCGGAGCAGTGACAGGCTGCGGGAGGCGGCAGAGTGTGGGTGAACAGTGGGGGCTGCGCCCGCCCTCCCCGCGTCCTCCCGGGGCACTCACGGACGCAGTCGGGGAAGCCGTGGAAGCCGGGGCTGCACTCCTGGCAGGTGGTGCCCGCGTAGCCAGGGCGGCAGCGGCATAAACCACCTGCGCCGCAGAGCTGGTCCAGGGCTCCCCGAGGGTCACAGGTGCAGGCTGTAGGGACAACAGAGTCAGGCCCTGGCACCACGCGGTGGCCCGGCCCCTTCCTGCGTGGCCCTCTGCTCACCGTGGCAGTCGGGGAAGCCGTGGTAGCCTGGGCGGCAGCGGTCACAGTGAGGGCCAGCAAACTCAGGCCGGCACGGGCAGTGGCCAGCCTCGTCGCAGCCTCCGGGCAGTGTCCCTGCAGGGCTGCAGCCGCACACTGCAGAGTGGAGGCGGCGTCATGACAGGCCAGGCCTGGGCTCCCCACACCCGTGCCCTCCCGGAGAGGCATCACTCACGCTGGCAAAGAGGGAAGTGGAAGTAGCCAGGGGCACAGCGATCGCACGCGGCTCCCTCGAATCCCACCCGGCACACGCACTGGCCCGTGTCGAGGTCACAGCGGCTGTCTGCCACTCCAGGGCTGGAACACTGGCAGGCTGCAGGGGAGTGGGGCCACACGCTCCGTCAGAGGGGCCGGGGTCCAGCATCCGCCTCCAGGCCAGGGCAGGGTGGGAGGAGACGGGGCTGGACTCACGCTGGCAGCCTGGGCCGTAGAACCCCGGGGCACAGAGCTCACAGTGGGTGCCTTGGAAGTTGGGTTTGCACACGCAGCGTCCCACCCGAGGGTCCTTCCGGCAAGCGTTGCCCTGGGTCCCGGCAGCGCTGCAGTCACAGTCTGGGGGAGGGGCGGGCGGGGGCGTCTCAGGTGCCCGCAGACCCAGCCTCCCCACTTGGAACACCTCCCTTCATAAAGCATTTTCTTACACTTCGATACAACCCTGATTAGAAACTAAAAGAATAAATATCTCAAGAGGGGAAAGCTGGTGTTTTGGGAAAACAGTGGCATGCGATGAAATGAGGACAGCTATAAATACTTTTAATTAGCGGTTGTAATGTAGACTCCAAGTTAACTGCAAGTATTAACATGACAAGAAAAAACGTAAAAACAAGATCATAACAAGCTGCAAAGAAAATTCTAGTTTCTTTATAAACAGTCAGTAGGAGCTGGGTAGAAGGAAGATGTTAAATGTCTTAACTTGGGCACAAAAGGAGGGTTGTGAATACAATTTAATCTTAATCACTGACAGAAATAAAGGTTTGATATTTATCGAAAACGTAAGGGTAACCACCGGTCAGGCCAGAACACGGAAAGAGGATCTGTGAGCCCTCCCCAGAGGGAAACAGACGGCAACACACAAATCAGCAGACCAAACCCCGCTTTGTTGCTCACACTGGCAAAAGGCAGAAAGAAAAAATTTAAGCAGAAAAGCAGAAACGATACAGCAAGGGCAGGAACAAGCGCAACCGAAGGCAGCGAGGACCATCGACGCGCCAGACGACGTCTCCTTTCGTAAGATAAAACCGTTTGACGACAAGGAAACGCCGGCCAAAGACTCTAGAACAAAGGGCTCAGGAGGGTGGAAACCACGAGCTGCGCAAAGGGACCGGGGCGATGCCAACGCAGAGGTGGGCGCAGACAGAGCGTCAGCCCGGGCAGGACGCGAGGCCACAGCACTGACGGAGACAAAGAGGGACGTTGTGCGCTGAGAACTGGGACACACCGCCCCAGAGACGCAGCAAACCTGACCCTCCAGGGGCAGGACGAGCGTGGTCTTGAGGTGCGTAAACCTGACACTATTAAAACCGCGAGGAGAACCTGGGAAAACCACAGTCGTAGAGGGAAAGACTGACTATGCTGTTGGAACGTGACAGCTCAAAGAGACGAAAGTTAAGCAAGGACAGAGCAGATTTAAATAGTATATTAACAAGCCTGGGCTGGGCACGGTGGCTTAAACCTGTAATCCCAGCACCTTGGGAGGCCGAGGCGGGAGGATCACTCGAGGTCAGGAGTTCGAGACCAGCCTGAGCAAAAGCAAGACCCCGTCTCTACTAAAAAACAGAAAGAAATGATCTGGACAACTAAAAATATATATAAAAATTAGCCGGGCATGGTGGCGCATGCCTGTAGTCCCAGCTACTCGGGAGGCTGAGGCAGTAGGATCGCTTGAGCCCAGGAGTTTGAGGTTGCTGTGAGCTAGGCTGACGCCATGGGCACTCACTCTAGCCAGGGCAACAGAGTGAGTCTCTGTCTCAGAAAAAAAAAAACAAACAAGTCTGTTTTAATGAACAGAAACCGGTAACCGGCAGAGAACACACAGTCCTGTCAAACGTTCGTGGAACAATCTAAAAATGGTCATATTCTAGGTAAGAAACAAAGAAAATCTCAAATTCCAAAGATAAAAGGCAGAAATCGTCAGCATACCAAATCTGACCGTGACGCGTTAATACTAGAACCGAACAGCCACGAGAAAGGACGGAAGGGAAATCTCACCACATGGAATAAAAACAGACATGTGAGTCAGAAAGAGCAAAACCCAAATCGTAGACTACTTTAAAGAGAACACGCATCTCAAACCCTATGGGATACACCTAGCCAAAGATATACTCTGAGGAAAATTTATAGCCTTAAACTTAGGTTTTCCAACCTCGGCACATTCTGGGCTGGATACCTCTTTATCGTGTGGGCCGGGGCTGTCCTGTAGGTTATGGGACGTTAGCAGCACCGGCCTCTTCCCACTAGACTGCAGTTACATCCATCAGTTGTAACAACCAAAAATGTCTCCAGATGTTGCCAAATGTTTCCTGTGGATTTAAATCACCCCAAGCTGAGAATCACTGCTTTAAACACTTTTGTTGATAATTAAGGGAGACTGAAAATAAATAATTGAAGTGATAAAAAAGCAATAAATCAAAGAAAGTAGGTAATAGGAATTAAAGATTTTATTTCAGAATTGATCATATTAGAAAGCAATAGCTTTCCCCTAAACAAACAAAAACCCCAGCAGATCTCATCAATATAACCTGAGCTGCGCTTTGAAAACACCAGTAAATTCAACAAACCTGTTATATCTGATCGACAAAGAAAATAAAAACAGACAACAGAAACGAAATTTTAAAATTACAACAGAATGCTGTACATAACTTTATGCCAACACCTTACAAAATCCAAACAAAATAGAAAATTTGCTAAGAAAATATAAATAACCAAAATTGACTTAAGATGAAAAGAAAACTTAAAAAACACAATAACCATAAAAGAAATTAAAACCTTAATCTAAGATTTCCATTGAAATACAGGCATCAGTAAGTTCTATCAAACTTTTAACAACTAGATAATTTCTGTGATTTTTAAACTGATCTGGAACATAGACGAGTACGCATCATTTCCCAAGTGTTTTATAAAACCAAGACAGAAAATCTGTCTTCCAGTCTCTCTTGTGAACAGACACAAGACGTTTACGTCAGCACCGGGTCCACATCAGGAAAGACGTTAACACAATTCATCGTATCGCGAGCAAAGTAGAAGCGAAACACTGTGCGATCGTAGATGGTCACTGAGTATTTACTCTGGCCCGTGGGGAAAGGAGAAATTGTCAACAGTTTACACCAGGAATTAGCGAACCACAGTCCGAGGGCTCCTCCGCCGGCCTCTGTAAATAAAGTGTGCCTGGAACGCGGCCAAGCCCGCTTGTTTACGGCCCGTGGCCGCTTTCGAGGCACAACCCGCGAGGGCAGAGCCCGGAGCTTCCACGGGAACCACGTGGCCCTCGAAGTCCACAACATTCGCCGTCTGGACCTTTTCAGGCAACATTTGCCAATCCCTGGTTTACGCTGACGAAAAACTAAACATTTCAACGTAAGAAAGAAAGCGATCAAAGAGCCCGCAGACGTCAGAGAGCCCTGGACCAGGGGCGCCAGCGGAACGCGACGGGTCATAGATCCAGTAGAAAGCGCTGGCAGATTCACCCAAACATTTAAAAATCAGGCGCATCCAAAAAAGCTGCCCAAAAACAAGGGGCACAGGACCAACTGGGAGAAATACGCGACTCGTGAGAGGCAGAGGATACGACATACGGGAAGAGCTCGTCGCGGTGGGCGAGACGCCAAACGCCAGCGGCAAGGTCCAGCCGGGACAGCGTCACGTCTGCGAGCGACTCACGCTGCAGGGAGCTCAGTAGCGAAGGAGAAAGAAAACCGACCACACGACCGTAAGGAAACAACCGGAAAGTCAAGGTTCAACCTGCAAATCAGTCCAAGTGCAGCTAGAAACCGCGAAACACCAGATGCCGCCTAAACCGAGACCCCGTGGATCGTAAGACACGTCATCGTCTCACGTCCTGTCGTGACAGGGAAACCGATGACAGCCGTCGGTAGGAGGTGATGACAGCGACATGCCTGGCAGCGTGACGGCACGCAGCCAGAATTTCATTTTAAGAGAGCAATTTCGTAATTTACAGCCAAACACGTCCCAAAACGTACACGTCTAGCAACCCGGAACCTTCTTCCAGGAAACCGTCCTACAGAAACAAGCCCCCACACAGTGTCAGCTGCAAGGACGTCCACCACGGCATTGTTCAGAAAACAAAGCAAAACACAAAGAGGATACATCTCCCTCTTTAGGTTACGAGGAAAAAAATAAAAAAGGAAAGAAGCTACGTTCCTGATAATTAAGGATCGGTTAAATAAAAGCTGTGTGGGTCCCTCGGACGTAGACTCTGCGACAACCCGTTCGAGGGACTGCGTGCTGGAGGTAGTTACGGGACGACACGCGTGTGCAAGGGCACGCGTACGGAGAAGGTCTGGACAGCGTGAGGAGGGGTCATTCGCAGGTGGTACGATTCCAGACAACCTTTTTCTTTGACTTTATGCTCACCTGTATTTTTGAAGGTTTTCCAGCATAAAAAATACGCGTGATTTGTGTAGACAGAAACGAACCAAAAACAAGCGACCACAGTGAGAATCCTCCCTCTCTGCAGGGCCTTCCTGCCACAGTAGCGGCCCCAGGGCAGCACAGGGACCTTGGGGACCTCCGGGATACTTACTCACGATCTGTCCGGCTGGCAGCACCTGCTCCCCGGTGTCATTGGGGGAGAACGAGGATACAGCTGAAGGCAAGAGACACCGCGTGTCAGCCAGGCCTGCGGGGATCCCAGTGTCCCCCGGCCACCCTGGGTCTCTCACACAACTGGAGATGCAGACAGGACAAAGGGGTGCCCCCGGGTCCCCTCATCCCCACAGGGCGCCCCAGGGCCCCACGGGCAGCAGGTAGAGGCCCTGGCGGGTGCTCACGGTAGCAGTGCGGGAAGCCCACGAAGCCCTCGGCGCACGAGTCGCACAGCTGCCCCGCGAAGTTGGGCCGGCAGTAGCAGCGGCCGGTCAGGTCCTCACAAGTCCCGTCGGTAAAGTCTGACTCGCAGCTGCAGCCTGGGCAGGGACCAGGGATGAGGACAGTTAAGCCCGGGGCCTACAGGCCCCAAGGGGTGGCTCCAAGAGGGGTGAGTCTCTGTGTTCCCAATCTGCGCAGTGGGGACGCGGCTGGGGCCAGGCCTCCCAGAGGTGCCGGGGCCCTGGGGTCCCACGCCGAGCCGGGGAGGCCTCTGCCTGGGCAGCCCCTGGAGCTCAGGACGTGCCCCCAAAGCCGGCCCAGAGACCCAGGGACACGCCTTCCCGGGCAGCCCCCGAGTCCCAGGATGCCTCTCGGCCAGGCCCACTCACGGCGACAGACGTGGGGCGAGTCCAGCGGCTGGTCCGGGGCGCGGTAGAAGCCGGGCAGGCAGCGTTCACAGTTGATGCCGGTGGTGTGATGCTGGGGGCAGGGGTGGGGCTGCTGAGTCCAGGGACACCCCCGCCCCATGTGGGGTGCCAGCCCACCCCGGCCCTGCCCTGCCCACCTGGCAGTCGATGCAGACGCCTCCCCCCTGATAGGTGCCGTCCTGGCTCTGGCTGGCGCGGCGCCGGGCGACCTCGGGGTCATAGTAACAGTCGTCGGCATGGCCGTGGCAGTTACAGGCTGGAGAGGAGGGGCTCAGCGGTCAGCACGCCCTCCACGGCCCTGGGGCACGTCCCATGAGCCACAGGCGTGTGCGCGGGGCGCGTGGGGCACTCACACTGGCACTCGTTGGCGCTGTCGGCAGTCGCCGGCTCCCACGGCTGCTGGTTGAAGCCAGGGCAGCAGCGGTCGCAGGAGCCCCCGCAGGTGTTGTGCTGGCAGGCGCACTGCAGCCTGTGGGGACAGGGGTGGCAGGTCCTCAGCCCCACCTGGAAGGGACCTGTGGTTCTCTATCCTCAGTTTCCCTGGCTGTCAGGCAGCGAGCATGTAACCAAACACCAGCATCCCCCAGCCACGGTGGCTCTGGCCCTGCTGCCCCGGCACAGGGAATGGACAGAGGTGAGAGGACACAGAGGGACCAGCATCATGGTGACCGGAGCTGTGGAGGGTCTTTGTGGACAGTGGGACCAGGGTGTGTGTCAGCGGGTGGGCATGGCCCAGAATAGGGCACCTCTGTGGTCAGTGCAGGTGGCCCTCGCCTGCGGGTCAGCCTGGAGCCCTGGCGCCTTCCTACCATGGCCAGGACCCAGGCCCAGGGCCCCCAGAGCCAGCTCCAAGGGAAGGGTGGATCAGCACCCCCAGGCCCACATCTTACTTAGCAGGCAGCCCCGTGCTCAGCCAGATACCCCCGTGCGTCCAGGACGCCTCCCCAGCGGCAAGTAGCAAGCACTGCTTCCTCTTCCAGCTGGGGTAGACGCCAGGTTGGAGGGCTGGAATCCTGCCTGCTGTCCCGTGGGCAAGGGGACAGCTGGTCAGACACGAGGCCTGAGGTTGGAGCCACCAACTGCTCAGAATGAACCAGGACACAACCCGGCCTGGGCAGTACGAGCACCCGGCGTGGTGGCGCAGGTGGAGATGGGGGGGGGGAAAGGGCAGAAACGAGCCCGCTGGAGGCCAGAGCCCTCCCTCCCTGCAGCAGAGCAGAGGTGGCAGGTGACGCGTGCACGGAGAACAGGGCAGGCGGAGGCTTAGGGACACTGTCTGTGGCGGGGTGGTAGCGACAGGGGCTCTGCTGGGGTCTGTGGTTCTGGGAAAGGTGCCCAGCCCCACCCGCCTCGTCCCACAGGCAGGTGGCACCTCCCCGGAAGGCCCCAGCCTTCCTCTCGTCCGAGGCCAACTTGGCCGCTTGGTGGGCTCTGCTCTCAGCCATCGCAAGCTGAGCTCCCATGTGACAATTTCCCAGAGCCATGCAGCAGCGCTCCAGCTCAGCACTGGGGCTACAGCGGCCAGGCCTGAGTCCTCTGGCTCAGGTGACCACGCCACTCCCTCCAGGCCATGAGCCACACCTGGAGGAGCCTGGGGCTCACGTCTCTGCTCGGCATTGACCACGAGAATGGGGTGGCCCCCACCCATCCACCTGCTCTATAAACTGGGGGCGTGGGCGGAGCAGGGAGACCCCAGCAGAAGGCAAAGGGCAGGTCCTGAGTCCACACGTAGAACTGGGCTGGCCGTGTGACTCCGCAGCACTAGAAACGGCAGTGAGTCTGCCCGCTCCCTGCAGGGGTGCCTGGCAGCGGGGTCCAGGAGCCTGGTCACGGGTGCCCCATCGTCCCTCCTCGGCACCTCCCTGGGCTGCTTCCGTCTGGCCCTCACCTGCCCTGTCACCTCCAGTGCTCCGCCCACGGGTACCGCGTGGGCACCACTCTGCACATTTCCTGGCTGCTGGCCACGTACCCAGAGCCTAGCGCGTGTCAGGAGCTCAACACGCAGCGGAAGAGGGAGGATCCCACGTGCCCTGGGGCTGCTTCCAGGCGGGATGAGCCCAGTGACAGGCTCCGGTCCCAACCCTAGCTGAGGACTTCGGTGGGGACTCACAGGGTGCCGGGACCACCTGGGGCATGGCCTCCAGTGCAAGGCGTCTGATGGCAGCTTGTTGGAGATGCAGATTCCTGGGCCCTGCCTTCCTGGGGACTCTGGGTGGGGCCTGGGAACGAGTGGGTACCGAGACGGCCGCCCTCCCGTGCCGTGTCGGGGGAGCCTGTAGCTGTCCCCTGCACGAGCACAGGGCGCGTCAGATGGTGGTGTCGGCTGCTCCCTGGCCGGGCCTTGCCCCTGCCCTCGGTTGGGGTGAAGGTTGGTGGGGGCGGCAGGGATGCCTTTGTGTGCTGAGGACGGGCTGCAGGAGCTGGGGGGAGCCCTGTCCACCTCGCGGACGCAACGGACACTCTGGACTGGTTACCCTGACCTTTGACTCCCCTCCACGGGGCCGGGGTGTCTGCGGGGTGGAAGGGCAGCTGGCACGGGGCCCAGAGGAGAGCCCACCTCTGCTGGCAGCAGGGCACCCCGAGGAGGCTGCACCCAGCTTTTCAGCCCTAACCTCGCTGTGCAAGTAGGGAAATAGAGGCCCACAGGGTGGAAGTAAATTTAGATCACATGGGGAATGGGGGCAGGGGGTGGCAGGCAATGGAACCTGGCCTCCTACCCTGGCGTTAGGCTTTGGTGACGGTGACTGGCAGGGGGCCTCCGGTCCCAACTCAAAGGGCCTCACCTAAAGGGGCCTCACCTGAAAGGGGCCATGAGCTGAGAGGCCTCACCTGAAATACCCTCAGCTAAGGGGCCTCACCTGAGAGGAGCCTCAGCTGAGAGAGGCCTCCCCTTAAAAGGGCCTGACCTGAAAGAAATCTCACCTACAAGGGACCTCAGCTGAGACAGGCCTCACCTGAAAGAAGTCTCACCTGAAAGGGACTCAGCTGAAAGGAGCCTCAGCTGAGAGGAGCTGTAGCTGAAAGGGGCCACACCTAAAAGGGCCTGAGCCCAGAGGGGCCTCACCTGAAAAAGGCTTCACCTGAGAGAGGGGTCAGCTGAAAGGAGCCTCAGCTGAAAAGGATCGCAGCTGGGAGGGGCTTCACCTGGGGTGTGGGGGGGGCCCTCAGCTTGGAGGGGCCTCACCTGGGAGGGAATTCAGGGTAGATGGGCCTCACCTAAGAGGGGCCTACCTCAAAGGAGCCTCACCTAAAGGAATCTTATCTGAGAGGGGCCTCAGCTTAAAGGACCTCACCTGAGAGGGGCATCAACTGAAATGGACTCCAGCTGAAAGGGCCTCACCTGAAAGGGTCCGAAGGGTCTTTGGCATCGCAGACATCCGCGTGGCCGTGGCAGACGCAGCGGCCGCCAATGCTGATGTCCTTGATGCTGTAATAATACTGCACCGCGGGCCCGTGAGCGCGGGGCCCAGACTCACCCACCCGAGTCCCACCCGGGAGCCGGCTCCTCCCCGCTCTGCCAGGGGCCGCCCCCCACGCTAGACAGGGTGGGCTCACCCGGCGCGTGACCGTGGGGTCCCGCAGCGCCTTGCCCATGAGGTGACCCAGCAGCGTGTTGGTGCGCAGGAAACGCAGGCGGATGTTGGTGGCCTTGGTGAAGTTGCGCAGCAGCGGCGAGTAGGAGAAGTTCATGGCCCCCGGGCGCCCGTTCACCAGGGACACCACGATCTGCAGAAGGCGTGGACGGTGAGGCCAGCTGTGGCCGCCAGGAGCAGACCGGCAGAACCCGCCACCGCGCCGCCCCCCGGCCCACCTCGCCGTTCTCCAGGGGCACTATTCGCGAGTACTCAGTGGTGCAGATGGCGTCGTCGTCCCGCGTGATGCGCTCCAGGGTCCGCGGCCCAAATCGCTCCAGGCAGTCCCTCCTGGAGGCTGCGGGAAACGGCCGGAAAGGAAGGGCTGGGGCCACCAGAAAGGCCTGCAGACCCAGTGGCGGTGCCCCTCGCCCCCCGACTTCCTGAGCCTGACCACCTGGAACGCCACCTGCTGGATGGGTCACCTGAGCCCGGCCACCAGCCAAGGCTCCACCAGCCAGCGGGACTCGCGGAAGAGGTTACCGAACACCGCTGAGGGAGGAGCCCCTGCCGCGCCAGCCGCGCCGCCGCGCACACGCTGCGCCGGCTCACCACCCAGCCCCGCGCCCCCTCCCTGGGACGTGTCCAGAGAGCAGGTGCTGCCCCCTCCCCTGGCACAACTGTCTTCATGTCCTTCCTTGGGGACAGTCCCCGACGGCCCGTGAGAGAACTGCCCCTCCTCCACTCTCAGGCCAGGGAGCTTTGGGGGACACATGACCAGGCCGCCAAATGGGAGCATCCCCGTCCTGCCAACATGACCGGTCAGGGTGGCAGGTGGCCAAAGGCAGCCAGTGAGCGAGTGCCAGGGCCCAGCTCTCCTGACACAGGCAGCTGAGCTGGCAGGAAGCGAGCTGGGAGCCGCCAGGGCCCTGGGTCACCACAGAGAGCTGTCGAACATGAAGCCAGCCCAGAGGGAGCCAGGAGATGGCACCGAGATTCCTGGCGCCACCAGCCCCCGGGCCCAGCTGTGCCGGACACCAGGGACGTGACCTGATAAATTCCCGTTTGCCTCCCAGTCCTCAGACAGTCCTGACCCGCACAGGGGTTGGGCGTGAGGGCCGGACTGGTGACCAGAGACCTCAAGAAGGCATGGCCACAGCAGTCCCAGCGGGGACACCCCCCAGACCCCACAGCTCCCGAGACTCACAGGCGAAGAACTGCCACGGCTGGTAGGTGTGGCCAAAGTCCGTGGACCGCTCCAGCACCCAGAGGTCTGGCCGGGGGGAGTTGGCAAACTTGATGAGCACGTAGGCCACGTGGAAAACCTGTGGGGACCGAGGGTGTCAGGGTGCCTGGGCCTCCCCTGCCCATCGGGAGGGCCACAGCAGGTGACATAGGACATAGGTGCCCCACAGAAGCATCTGTGGGTTTGCCTGCCAGGGGAAGATGGACCCAGGGGACAGTGCCTGCACCAGGGACAGTGATGAAGACAGGGACCAGCCCTCCCGGAAACCCCCTCCCGAGCCTGCGGTGCCTTGGTCAGAAGCTCGGGGTCGTGCTGGTCCTTCAGGCTCATGGCTGCGGACGGGCTGGCTGGGGGAGGTGCCAAGCAGTGGGTCCAGCCGAGGTGGAGACAGGAGCACATTCCAGTGTCGCCACCACCAAGCAAGTCCAGACCCCAGAACATCCGACAGTCAGTGCCGTCCCAGGACGGGCTCTGCCCTGTTGCCCACTGACTGGCCTCCAGCAACTGAGGCCCGGGCCAGGTGGCATGGAGCGAGTTGGGACCCAGTGCTGCCATTGGGGCCCAGGGGGAAGACAGACTGGAAAATGGGCCCTTCCGGTGCTGAGCCAAGCTCGGGGGACCCCACTAGCCCAGGACTGGGGGCTGCGGCTTCCCTGTGGCCCTCGGCTTGTAGGGCAGCCCTGGCCCAGGGAAAAAGGAAGCTGTTCCTCCAGGGGCACCCGGAACCCTCAGGCCCTGCCGAGGGGTCCTGCTCTGCCTCTCCCGCTTTCTCCCGTTGGCCCCGCATGATCCCAGGGAGGTCCCCATAGCCTCATTTCTTATTGTTCTGGCTGGAGGACCACATCTTGGGCTGTCCCCGTGTGCCTGTGCCCCTGGGGCTTAGTAGGGCCCTTCCTTAGCACAGGCTTCATGGGGCAGTTTGGACACCACCTCCAGGAAGCCCTCCCTGACTGCAGCCCATCCACCCCTGCCCTTGGCCCTGGGCATCCCCCCACTGGCCATCACTGCTCCAGCTGGGCGTCTGCACCCACCCAAGATGGCCCTGCTGGCCCCGCTGGCCCCATGCCTGTATCCGGGACACACACGCACCCATCAGCCCAACAGCACATGCTGGGGCCAGCTCCTTAGGTCGCCCTGGCCTGTCCGGATGAGCCCCTGAAGCAGCAGAGGCTCATCGGGGCTGAGGGCCCTTCCGGGGGTGGGCTCATGCTGCCACAGGTTCCCCCAAAAGCCCCCAGGGCCTTAGCAACGGGCAGCTCCACCCCCACCCACCACAGGAGTGGCTCCCTGCGGGTGGGGGCCATGGCTCCCCAGGAGAGGCCTCTGGCCCCTTAAAACTGCCAAGGGCGATAGGCTGACCATGGAGTGGGCCGGGGGGGTCTCCCAGGAGAAGCGGGTGCCCGGGCGGGGACCCATCGTCACACCCCGGTGTGCACGTCCCATGCAGGTGTCCCCATGCCCCATCCACCTTGGGGGGCAGCCAGCCTCTAGGCTCGGCCCCCACATGACGATGGGGAGGGTGTGTAGTCTCCAGGGAGGGTGACCCCCATCCCCCCACTAGGCCCCGATGCTGTAGTGCAGGGAACAAAGGGGAAAAGGCCCCAGGGGGCCTTTGGGGGTCCCTCCATCTGCCCCCCATCTGCACAAGGACCCGGCTCCCACCGGGAGTGGGGGGCTCCCGGCGGAGGGTAGAGGCTCAGCTGGCGCGGACCCCTGCTCACAGGTGGGCTCTGAGCTGCCCGCCAGGCCTCTGAGGGTGACGTCACACCCCAGGCCCCGGCACCTGTTGCTCCAGGGGATTTCTCTGTGGCAGGTGCTGCCCGGGACGTGGGAGTGCTGTTGGCCTGTGGGCCCGCAGGAGAGAGTGGGGGTCCCCCCGGGCTGCTCAAGGCCCGTAGTCACCCCACCCCCACCCCACCCGAGTTGGCCTGCGGCTGCTGCGCTGTCCCCCATGGAAGGACCACAGACCCCTTATGGCTCCAGCCCTGGAGGGGCACAGGCTGCCCAGAGTCGAGGCAGGGCAGGGCCCCAGGACCCCAGACGCACCAGGCCTCAGTCCTGCCCGGAAGGCTCGGCGCCGCAGGACCCCGAGTGGAACCCAGCGTGGCCCTCCCCTGGATGGGGGTGCAGCCTATTCACCCGCTGCCAGGCTCTGAGGTCATCCTCCCCTCCCCCGTGGGTGGGGACAGAGGGACCAGCACTGTCCGGCCAGGCAGGGCTTCCAGTGTCTTCGGGAACCAACCCTACACCCAGCCCCACACCTTGGCCTCGGCAGACCCCCGTGGGCCCAGCGCAGGGCACTGCAGGGAGCCTGCGCGCTGCGGCAGGGACACAGGCTGCTCCTGGCCCCCCACCGAAGGCTCCCGAGGAGACGGAAGGACCCGGAAGGACCCGGCGGCCCTGGGACCCGCCCCCGCCTTTCCCTGAGCGCTGGGGAGGCTGCACCCTCCGACGTCCCTCCCTCGCCCTCCCTGCAGGCTTGTCGCATTTTTCCCAGCTGAGAGCACTTGCACAAATATTGACTCGCAGACACCGATCGGCAGGGAAGGGCGGCATGGAAACTTCGCCCCCCACCGCTGGGATCCCGGACTTCCGTCCGTCCATCCACCCAAGCATCTGCCTGTCAGAAAGAGGCCCTGGCCAGCTGTCCTCGAGGCCTGGCCACCTGCACAGACACTGGTGGGAAGGGAAGCCCCGCTCAGGGCTCCCGTGGTCCCCAACCTGGTCTCAGCTCTCAGGCGATGCCAGCCGCCCTCCGCACACCCCGCAGCAGGCACAGACCCCCCGGCGTCCCTGGACACAGCTCGGCCCCCTCCACGCCCCACCGGCTCGGCTGCCAACTCGAGCTGACCTTTCCGCTACCACATAGTTCTGTGCAGAAGGAAAAAAATTTCTTTTAAAGCAAAAGGCAAACAAAAGCCGACCGGGTTATTTTTAAAAATCTGGCTATTTTAGGGCAGGCACGTCTCCAGGACGGCAGCCGGGCCAGCCTCTCAGCTACCGCGCCCCGGCCCCTCCCAGCCCGACCTTGGAGGCCCAGGGCTCCCAAAGGAGGGCCTCTGAGACCCTGCCCCACGGGGAGGCGGCAGGGGCCCCCGGAGCGCGGGGCCTGGGGCAGCCGGTCCAGGGTGGGCTCCGGCCTCAGGGGCTCTGTCCCCAGGGTGGTCACCGCCCCTCCCCAGGCACAGGGCAGCGAGAAGAGATGCACAGAGGATGACTGGGGCAAAGTGCCTTCGTGCCAGGTGCCAGGACCTTGGAGGGAGGATGCCCCGGAGATGCCACCTGGCCCTGGAGCAGGCAAGCAGCAGCCACAGCCCCCACCAGGGACAGTGTGGAGGGCACCCACGAAGCCACACCACACGCTGGTGTCCCAGACGCAGAGCTTGGGGAGAGGAGAGGGCAGGGCCCAGGGTCTGGACAGCTGGGTGAGGATGGCAGAGAAAACTGGCGGGGCCTCCGCAGGCCCTGGGGACGGTGGGGCCAGAGGGTGACCCTGTCGGCCTGCAGCCTCCCGGGCTCAGACGCCCACATCACCAAGTGCTGGAACCACTGGAGGAGGGGATGGGGCGCCATCCTGTGCCACGCCCCGGCTCGGCCCTGGCCCATCTTGGGCTGGGGAGACCAAGGCCGGGCCCAAGTGCCACCGCACTGCCCGTCCTGGGGCCGAGGGCCAACCCCATCCGCCTAGTGGCGTGAATCACTGGCAGCCTGTGACTCAGCCTAGCCCTGCAGGAAGAAGGGCCCTGTGCCAACTCCCGGGGACAGGCCAGGGGCTTAGGCGGTGCTGGTGAGGGCAGGAAGCCCCTCCTAGCGCCAGGCATCCCGGCCAGCTAGCGCCCTGACCGATCCCCTCACGCAGAGCACCGGGTGGCCAGGCTGCCCTCAGAGGCCCTGCAACCTGAGCCCTGGTCCGGCCCTGCCTTTGCCCGCACGCCTGCTGTGTCTCCACCGTGGCAGAGACCCCATCTGGAAACCACGATGAAGCCATGGCAGGGCGGGCGCCCAGGCAGCAGGGCCGGGTGGGCGCGTCTACTTGGGCCCCAGCTGGGTGAAGAAGCAGGCCCTCACACAGAACGCGCCGCATACGGGCCCTGCTCCCCAAGAGACAGTGGAGGGGAAGTGCTGGGGGACACAGAATGCCCCAAGGACAGACGGGTCCCCAGGAACCCCAGCTCAGCCAGCCCACAGGCGTCCTGGGCAGGGAGGGCGGGAGCCCACAGCTGGAGGGCAGGCCACAGGCGCCGGCCATGCGGACACCAGCACTTCAGCGGAGCCTGGGCGGGGCGGACCCTGTGACCCCCGACCTGCGTGCCCCTCCCCCCATGGCCTGGCCCAGGTCAGGCCAGAGGGTCAGCCTGGACCACAGGAAGTGGAGTCCATCCCAAGGGGACCCTCAGCCCGAAACCCAAACAGTTTAGTCTGTGCTGAGTTGTATTGCAGAGGCCACTGCGGTGGGTTTTGTTTAAAAACAGACAGAAACAGGAAGCCTCTGAGGGCGGCCAGGGCCTGAGGGGTCCAGGTGGGAGGTGGTGTCTCTGTGCCACAGTAAGCAAGGGGACCGGTGTGGCAGGCTGGCCGCATGGCTGCAAGGGTGAGGAACAGCCGTGGCCTCCCAGCCAGGCAGGGACAGGTAGACCGGGGAGGGGGCGGCGGGGGGGGTCTCTCGCTGTTGATCCTGTGCCGGGGGAGGGGCACCCCAAGCTTGGCCAGAGGACCTGCTCCAGGGATGCCACCCACGCCCCCCACCTGACCCCCACAGGGAGCCCAGCTCCAGAGACCACGTCCGGCCCAGCCCCTGCGTCTGTAACCAGAGCCCGGCCTCGGCTGCACTTCCTGTCCTTCCCTGGACAACCCCACTGACCGTCCTGGGGCACTGGCCACATGGCCCAGCGCCCGGCCAGGCCAGGAAGCCAGGCTGGCGGCACCTGGGACCAGGAGGCTACCCGAGGGCAGGGCAGGTGCTCCCATCCCACTTACGGAAGAGACCAAGCCCAAGGCGTCCACACTGGCACTGTCCCTCTCCTAAACCCCTGCCTCAGTGTCCCCGAGTGCCCAGGTGGTCAGTAGCTTCACCAAAGCTTTGCCTCCTCAGCATCCCATCTCGTGAGGGGCACTGACCTCCGCCCCTCCCCTGCGTCCCATCCCCCACCCAGCCCACAGTCTGAGGCCCATGTCCCACTATCCCCAGGGGCACAGGCCCTCAGGCCAGCATTTCTAGCCTGGAGCCCACCCACCCAGCCCACACGCCAGGGCCAGCCCAGGGCCCCTGTACCCTGACCCCACTCGCCCTCTCACCTGCCCCCGTCTGTCCTGCGGCCTCCCTAGGCTGGGACAGAGCCGCTGGAGCAGGAGCGAAGAAAGCAGGGCGCCCCGCACCCCCCACGGCATGGCTGGAAGGTGGGCTGTGGCTGCAGGTGGTGAGGGGGTGCGGGGAGAACCCTTCCCCCACAGTGCCCTGGGGGTGTCTGGAGAGGGAAGGGACGTGGGGACCCAGCTCCTCCCTGCCCTGCCTTAAGGCCTGGGCCCACTGGGCTGGGGTGGGGGTGTGGGGACAGGGCTCTGGGGCGGGCCGCCTGCTGTGTGGCCTCAGCCCGGGCAGGGTCTGGGTGGTTCTGGGAAGAGGCCGCCTAAGGCCAGCGATCTGACCACTGGGCGCCAGAGGCTTCCAGAGGACACCGGGAGATACGCAACCACCCAGAACCCCCAGGCAGGTCACGCTGGGACTTGGAAACCGCCCCGAGTCACCAGAGTCACCAGCCGTGGAGCCTCTTCCTGGGGCCCCACCCCGGGAGGAAGAACGCCTTCCGAGGTGTGGTCGGCAGACCCAGGCCGAGAGCCCAGCCAGCTGCTCCCTGATGGACCCCTCAGAGACCAGCACCCCACCCACCCGTGCCAGCCCTTGGGCCGCACCCGTAAGAGCCATGACCGGCCCACCACGCCCTCCTCAGCCCCAAGCGGCAGGAAGCCCTCTGTGCCCAGGGCCAGCTGCCCCACCCCCTTCCCAGGGCATCCGCTCCAGATCCCAGAACAAAGGCTGCTAGCAGCCCGCGCGGGGGGTGCCCTGCCCAGCCCGGAGCGGAGCCACCTGCGGAGATGGACACTGGGCCCTCTGCCCCAGCCCAGCCAAGGCTGGTAGCCCCGCTATGGGCCTTGGGGACGTGTCCACACAGTCAGCAAAGGTGGAAGGAGGGAGGGGAGACCGGAGGGGTGGTGGGTGGGTGGGTGACCTCCTCCCGAACAGCTGGAGGGCTCCTCTTCCTCCCCGGTCACTGCACAGTGGGTGAAGCAGGTTTGGAGAGGCAAGGTGCTCACACGCGCAGCCCTTCCCCGGCCCAGGAGCAGTCTAAAAGCAAACCCGCTCAGCCCGTGCACGGACGGGAGCCCGAGGCTCAGAAAGGGCCCCAGAGCAGGAGGTGGCAGGGCCCGCACCTGTGGGTCCGAGCGCCGGTCCGATCTCGCTTGGCACCCCCCACGGCACGCCAGGCACTGTGCCCACCCCAGGCGCTGTGCCCGCAGTCTCTGCAGCCACCCTGGGGTTGCCATGGAGACGGGCCCTCTCCCCTCCCCCAGCCTGGCCAGGCCAGTCCCTTGGAGAAGGAGGGCCAGGAAGCCTCCAGTGCCCCCTTCCCACCCAGCCTCTGTGCCCCGCCTGTCCCCCGCAGGTGACAATCCACATACGCGCCTTCCCCTGGTGCCGCCACTGCTGTGCCAGAGAGATGAGGGACCCCTGCGTCCCGTGGGCTCCTGAGGCCCCCAGGCTCCAGGCAACAGGGAGCCCAGACTCAGTGAAGCCCAGTGAGCTAAGAGGAAAGGGGCCAAGCCGCACCCCGACCTGGGCCAGGTCAGAGTCGGGGCCAGGCACCCGAGGTCAGCATCGGGGAGCCTGAGACGGCAGCCCCCGCCCAGCCCCTCCCGCCTGCCCTTCCGCCCGGGCTGCTCCTATGTGGGACACGAGAGGGAGTCCACGGCCCCCTGCAAGTTCCACACCACATGTTGGCGCGTGAGCTGCTCCCCCACCCCCTGCCTGCCCACTGGGCCAGGCGGGGGACAGAGGCGTCCGCCCCTCAGGACCGGCCCTGCCGGGCAGGCTTGTGGGAGACCTGCGCTGCCTCTAACACTCTGGGACTGCGGCCGGGACGAGGGCCTCAGAGAGGAGCACAGACCCACCCCGTCACACGCAGGATGGCGGCAGAGCGAGCTGGGACGCAGGCCTCGGCACCTGCAGGGCCGGGTGGACCCTGTAGACCTGACTCCGGGTGCTTCCGGCTCAGCCTCACCCCCCGGCCCCCACTGACCATCCCAGGAAGCACAGAGATCACCGGCCCACTGCACAGACCAGGACCCCAAGGCCGACACACGGACACAGTCACCCAGAGAGGGCCGCAGCCTGTGTGCGCCTGAGCCAGCCCAGGGGTGAGATCGCGGCTGGCGGGGTGGGGGTGGGGGTGGGGGGCCTTGCTTTTCACTGGGGAGCGCCTGGCCCAGCCTGGCTTGCACCCGGACTAAGAGCAGGCACCTAGCCCCACCTAGCCCCACCAGGGCCACCACGGCACAGGTATCCCAGGAATGTCCACTTCCTCACCTCCTCCGCATTCCTGCAGCCCCTCCCACACCGCCAGAAATTCCTTAAACACCAGGGCTCCCGCCACAGGGGGTGGGGGACCAGAGGCTCCCAGCATTTCCGTCCCTGCCTCCCAAGCTGTCCGCTCAGCACCCCCACCAGACCCTCCTGGCGACCTTCTGTCCACCAGCCCCTCCATCCCCCCGCTGCGGGGTGTCGGAGGCAGAACAAAAGGCGCCCGAGCCTGCGTCCCCGTCCCGCCTGTGCCAGGCTCCCAGCCCCAGCCTCGCGCGGTTGGAGACCTCCCTGTGGGCCAGAGGTGCAGGATGGGGCCCAGCAGGCAGAAAGAGGGCCCTACCTGGCCCAGGTCCAGGGTGACGTTGACCTCGTTGTACTCCAGGCCACGGGACAGTGGCGGGCTCTGCCACCAGCGCTCTGTGCCATCGACCGCGTTGCTCACGGGGTGTGCTTTGTTGCTGTTGGCAGCTGTGCAGATGTCACAGTACTGGCCCTGCAGGGGACCAGGCATGGTCAGATGGCTGAGAGTGGCCGGGGACCCTGTGCCCTCCAGAGTCACCCTCTTGCCCCCAAGCCCTGGCCCTGTTCGCCTGGCCTCTACCCCCACCCAGGGTCCCCCTTGCTCCACGCGTCCATTTGCTCAGTAAGCACAGAGTGGGCGGCGGCTGCTTCCTCAGCCCAGGGGATGTGGCTCCCCTGGAGATGCCCGTGGTGCGTTAGGGAGGACACAGCCCAGGGAGGGAGAGAGTTCCGCTGCAGGTGGGAACATCAAGATGGGCCTCTCTCAGGAGGTGGCACCTAAGACCCATACAGGAAGGGGGAGCGTGCTCCAAGCAGAGGGATGTCAGTGCAAAGGCCCTGGGGCAGGCAGAGCCAGGGAGCCAAGGGAGAAAATGGGGAGGGGGCAAGGTGCATGTCGCCCTTCCCTGTCAGCCACTACAGGGGCTCAGGCAGGTTGTGGGGCAGAAGGGGTGAGGAGGGGAAGCCACAGAGATCGCCCAGAGATGAGTCTGGCCGCCAGTCTGGCCCCCATCCCAGGCTCTTGCCCACAGCCTCTCGCATTAGGGTCTGCAGAGAGACAGAATTAAGCTGTTCTGGCAGCCTGTGGGGACGGGCCCAAGCAGAGATGTGGGGCAGCAGGTGAGGCCCAGGCTCCTGGCTCTGCCCCTTCTGAGCCCTGGGATGGGGCCAGGTCACACGTCCGCTGAGCCTCAGTATCCCCATCCACAGAGTGGGGATGACACCACACCTGCCTCTGGGCACCATGAGGATTAACAGATCACAGCCGGGCCTGGCAGCTGCTTCTGTCAGGTCCAGCCACCTGCTGGGGGCCTGTGCTCCCAGGGACAGAGGAAGCTCCCAGCAGGGTCCTGGCCTGGCCTCCCCGTGGGGGAGGAGCAGGTGCAGGAGCTGGGGGGATGGGCAGGGCCTGCAGGGGCAGAGCCTGCCTGGCTGCCGGCCCAGCGGAGCCCGCCCTCCCAAGGAAACCAGACCTGCTGTCCCTCTGCACACAAAGGCAGACTTGGCACCGGCTGCCTCAGAGACTAAGTCTGGGAAACGGGGCTGCCCCACCCCTCCCTGCCTCCCAGGGGGCCAGATCTCACCAGAGGAGGAGGAGGAGGTAGGAGCGTGGGAGATGCCCTGCCCCACCCCCGGGCCCAGTGGTCGAGGGCCTGCCTCAAGCCCCTACACAGGCGGGGTATGCTGGTCCCGGACCGTCTGGCTGCCCCAGGCCTCCGCGCCCAGCCTGTGGGTGCCTGTCCTGTGGGCTTCCAGGACCCGTGCTGGCATTTGGGTTGCCCCATCCTGGCCCTTGCCCCTGCCGTCCCCTGAACACAGTTCAGACATCCCCCCTGCAGCAGGGCCTACGGCTGGGGGCCCGAGATGACCTGCAGCCCCGTTTCCCTCACCCTCCCTCACGGAGACCTGGGTCATCTGTCCCTTCCTGACTGGCGGCTTTACCGCCGTCCCCAGGGCCCCCAGAGCTCTGGCGGCGGGGTCCACACCTGCCTTGTCCCCAGCTGCGTCCCCCAGCCCACTACCAGAGCTGCCACACAGAGGGGCTAGAGCATCAGAGGACACCCAGCGAAGTGCCATGGGCTGCGTGGGCCGCACCGCCAGGCTTGACGTGATCCCCAAACCGGACCCTGGGGCTCAGGTCCAGGGCCTGTGGGGGTCCAGGGGTTCAGGGACAGCACAGCTCCCAGGAAGCAGGTGTGGGCGGGGCCGCCAGGCAAGGCTGCCTGCTGGGCAAGACCCTCCCAGATATGTGAGGCCCCAGGGCGGCTGGGTGGAAGGTCAAGGGTCAAGGGTTGGCCTCTAGTCTTCCAGGAGCCCAGGGAAGCCTCGGCTCAGCCCCTTCCCAGCCACCGGGTCGGCCTGGAGAGCTAAGAGCGGGTCCAGGCCCCCTTCGCCCCTCCTCTGCAGAGGGTCCTGCCAGGAACAGAGCTGGGAAGCAGTGGAGGGGCTGATAAGGACTTCCCCTTCCAGTGAGTCACCACCAGGACCTGGCTGCCGCGCCGGACTTCCCCTGCCAGGCCAGCCCGGAATTCCGCTGATGCCCACCTGAGGCTGCAGGGGCCGGATCCTGAGGGGCCCTCTGCCTGCTCCAGCAGCCTGGTCCAGACCCCCAGCAGGGCTCACCCCAGATCCCATCTGGGATGTCCCAGGCCAGCTTCTGACCCGCCCCCTACGGAGGCTCCCTGAGAGCCGCTGGCTTGCAGCCTTGAGCTGCGCTGCCGGGCCCCTGGGCCCGACATCCTCAGTGACTCCCTCCTTGTTGGCACAAAACTGGGCTCTCTGGACAGAGAGAGAGCTGTGGCTTCATCTCCTGGGCCCCTCCTGGGCCTGCCCACCTTGCCCCACCCCCCCTGCTCCAGAGGGGCCTGCAGGGCCCTATCACCCACCCAATCACCAGCCAGGTCGTCAGCAGACCCAGGGCGCTCAGAGAGGAGGAAGGAGATGCCCAAGGTCACTGGAGCAGCCATTCAGCTCCCGTCTGCCAGCTGATCTCTCTATGGCGCCCGCAGCCTGGAGCAGGGTACTAATCGCTCAGCGCTACGTACTTTGTCGGGGATGCCTTTCCCTCCCTTGCTAGACCTGAGCTGGGTAAGGCAAGGCCGCCATCCTAATCTGGCGAGCTCCGAAGCAGGCCAAGCTCATGACCCCCGTGAGGCAGGTGGTCACACACTGTGCCCATTTTACAGACAAGGAGCTTGAGGCTCAGAGAGGGAAACCACACAGCTGAGGAGGCAGAAGAAAGGGACTTTGATTCCAGGCTGCCGGATCCCAGCCAGGCCTTTAAGCACTCTAACAGGGTAACAAACAGATGCGGAAAAGCGTCCAAGTAGTAACACTTTGAGAGGGCCTGCGGGCCCCTGCCGGGTGGCACAGGCAGGTGGCCCAGGGTTTGGAGGCAGCCTGGGGCCTCCCCTCCCAAAGCCACAAAATCCCAGCTAAGCAGGAAGGTAGGTCCCCGGGGAGCTTGGCCAGGTCCCTGCGGCAGGTCTGGAGACACCCACGGGCGCTCCTTCCTGAGACCCAGCTGCTATGGGATCAGCCAGATGTAAGGGGGTCCCCAGCCAGGAGATGCCCAGGTTCCACTGTTAACCCAGCTGGACCCAGTTCTGGCTGTGGGGCCCCAGGCAGGGGGCTGCATCTTTCCAGGGCTCAGTTTCCCCATCTGAAGTGTGGGCTTGAGACCTCCAGGCTCCGAAGGCTGTGCTGGGCTTGGGGAGAGAACGCACAGGAGTCCAGGAGCCCTCGGGGACGCCCCAGGATGGCCCTGCTCAGCTCCCCTCCCCCAGTGGAGGCCCGGGGTGGGGCCCAGCTCAGGCTTCTTCATTCATCCCCCAACTTCCTGGCTTCTGGGCCCTCTCCCCGGCCCCAGCTAATCCAACCTCCAGCTACTCTTCCTTTCCCCAGCCTCTCCTTCCAGGAAGGTGGAGACAGGTGCCTGGAAGCGGCAGCCCAGGTTACATAGGCCCCTGGGGCCCCTGGACTCTGCCTAAGGGGGGCAGGGGTGGGGAGACGGGCCTATAGCCCGCTTTTAGGGAGCCCCTGGAGCAGACATCACCCTCCCAATTTAAGTCCAAAGAGCCTCAAAAGCGCCGCTTTCGTGGTCAGGTGGCTGCCTAACTGAACCACGTCCAGGCTCCTGGCTTGGGAGGGGCATGCCCCCAGAGGGTCTGCAGGGATCGAAGCCACATCTCCCCAGGGAGACTGAGCCCAGGGCCGCTACCACCTGCTGGGCAGACACCGAGGCCGCCACGTGTTCCCATCCCCAGTGAAAACTTTGCAGCTTGCCCTCCCCTACCTTGGGGGACCCACCGAGTCCCGAGAACCTAAGGAGAAGCTTCAATTCTTGGCTGGGGACAGCGGGAGCCTCAGGTGGCTGGCCCCTCCCGTCCCTCCCGCCCCCGTCCAGAGGCCGGCAGGTTCCAGCCTGTCCCGGGGGAAGGTGGAGCTGCCCGCCCCCTCTCCACAGGCAGCCTGTAGCGGAGGCCAAGTCCCGCCCTCGCCGGGATCCCGGACTTGGGGCCGCCGGGGACTGGGCACGAGCCCTCCTCCCGCCCGGGTCACGGCGACAGAACTGGACGGGCGCCCAGCTGCCCCCGAGTCCGTGTCGCGGACACCACATTCGGCCTTCCCCGAGGGACGTGCAGCTCCCCAAACGAGCCGAAGTGGCCAGGCTGGGGTCCCTCTTGGTCCCCTAAAATGCGTAACGACAGAGTCGGGATGGGAGAGTCGGTACTTGGACCCACCCCGGCCCATGGCGCTACCCTAGGAGTCGGGCTGGAGTTCGAGTCCGAATGCCTCGGGGCGGTGTTTCCCAGCCCTGCCCGCGCTCACCTGGATGGTCTGGTTGGGGTCCCCACCTGCCACGGGGCCCCCCACCAGCTTGCAGTAGAGGTCCTCGGTGGGGCGCGGGGGTCCGCGCGCCGGGGCCTCCTCGCCGCAGGTCGCGGACGCGGCGATGCGGGCGCCCTCGGCCAGGTTGAAGTAGGGCGGGTGCAGGCTGAAGCCGCCCGCCGCCCGCGCCCGCGCCGCGCCCAGCAGCGCCAGCCCGGCCAGCAGCAGCGGCGCGGGGCCCCGGGGGCCGCCCGCGCGCCAGGCGCTCTCCGCGCGGTGCCGCGCGCCGCGCTTCGCCATCTTCCCGGCCCGGGCCGCGTCCCCGCGCTCCTGGGACAGCCGCGGCGGGAGCCCAGCGGGTCTGAAGCGAGGCGGCCGCCCGGCTCGCTCCGCCCGCGGACGCCAGGCCCCGCCCCGGCCCGCCCGGGCGCCCGAGCCCCGCGCCCGGGGAGGGGGTCGGAGGAGGGAGGGGGCAAGGGGAGGGGAGGCCGGGCGGCCTTAACCCTTCGGACCCCGGCCGGGCCAGCCTCCCGGAAGGGGCACCTGCTGGCCCCGGGCCAGGCGCGGGACTAGGGCGCCAGCCCGCCCCCGCCCCCGCCCCAGGTCGTGGCTCCGGGTCCCGCCCGGGACAGCGGTGCTCCCCTCCGCGCCCCGGCCGGCGCCCCGGCCGCTCCCCTCTTTGTTTCCTTAACTCTGGGCACCGCTCTCGGCCCCCGCGTTGTCCCACCCTGCTGGTGCGCGGCAAGGTTCGTTCTGCCAGCCGTGCCGGGCCGTGGAGGGATCTCGATCTGCAGAGGGACAGTGAGATCCCAGGTGGGGACCCTCTGCTTTCTGGGGGACCAGGTCAGATTCAGCCTGGCCTGTCTCCTGCCTGCCCCGCTGCACTTTAAAATACTCTCAAATTGGGAAATGCGGCGGGAGAGGCTGGACCCACCACGGAGCCGCTTGGGAGGATTGGGGTGGGCGCTCCCTCCCGGTCCTGTGGCTCCTGAGGAAGTCCGGGCTCTCACACCTGGTGCCTGTTGAGCGCCGATGTGTGCCCGGGAGCACCTGCGCTCCAGATCGCTGTGGACTCCAGCAGCTCTGCCTGGCCCCGAACCACACACACCGCCCTCCCCTGCCCGGCGGCAGCTTGAGGACGCTGGAGGCAGAGCTCGGGGCTGTGTCCTGTGTTTCTGCCTTTGGGTGGCTGCCGCCACTGGGTGCAGTGGCCTCCTCCTCCCCTTGTCTCCTGGGCCAAATCTGCCTCCAGGGAAGCCCCGAGGGGTGGGGGTGGGGCTGCAGCTGCTGGGCCAGCTGCTCCCCCGTCTTTGAGCCAGGCCATCTGGGCCCTGGTCCCATGTGGGCCGTGGGGCTCACATCTTGCTGGGCTCCCTCGACAATCCTGGGGGTCAGGCTGAGTTAGTGGGGCGCTGGCCCGCCGGTCCTGGCAGGGGTCCTGAGCCGGCAGCTGTTCCAGGAAGGTTGCACCACCATCCACATTTTCCTGGCCTCCTACAAATCTCAAATCCCAAGAGGCTGGGTGGCCCCTTCTCTTCCGAGTTGGGAAATGGGCCGTGGGACCCTCCCCGCCTCCTTCCCTCTTTCCACTTTACTTCCCTGCAATTCTTCCGGAACTTCACAGTTTGTTCTCCCACCTGGGGGCGGGAGAGCAGGTGGCTCCCCTTTGCAGGAGCAGCTCCAAGTGGGGGAGGGGCCAAGGAATCTGGAGTCGGGGCGCAGGTTTGGCTCATGAGCTGAGGGACAGGCAAGAGCTGCCTCTGGGCAGTAGTGGGTCCGCAGATGGGGGATTGGCACCGGGCAGTGTGCTCTGCCTCCGGCTGCCCTTGACAGCTGGGGGCTCAGACAGCCTGGCCCCAGGTTCTGGCTGGACTCCTGAGAACCTGCCCGCTTCCCGATATCCCCCGGGTCCAGCGGGCAGAGGTTGGGCCAGGAGCCCTCTGAGCCCCCTAGCGGCCAGGCCAGCCGGGGAGGGAGGGGCGGCTGCCTGAGAATGCGCTGAGTCAGCGGAGTGGCCTGCTCCAGCATGCGGAGGGTTAATCCGGGGCTAGCTGCTTCCCGGCAGACAGCTGCCCCAGGAGCAACTGATGAGGGGCAGGGCGTGAAGGGGACAGAGGAGAATGTGGCAAGGGGCTGGGCGAGGTGTTTACCCTCTGCGCTGCCCTGTGTGCCTGGGGGGCAGGGCGGCAGGTCAGGAGTGGGTGGGGAGGTGGGTAGGGGGAGGGGCAGCTTGGCTGTGCCCACCCCAACACCCGCTGTCCTTGTCAGCTTCCACGGAGTCGCTGCCAATGGGCCCGCAGCATCTCTCCTCTGACTCCTGGGCAACACAGCCACTTTCCTGCTTACTGATGGGGAAACCGAGACCCTAGGGGCCAGGGCTCAGTGAAGAGCACACAAGTTAGCGAAGAGACAGGAAGTCAGTTGCCCATGTCCTAACCCCTGTTTACTGGGCATCTGTTGGGCACTAGCCCCCCCACAATCAGACAACCCCAGCAGTGCTGTCTGGAATGCCCGGGACAGGGGTGCCCAGTGTGGCAGTGGGGGGGGGCAGGGGGCCAGGCAGGCAGCCCAGCGCCCTGTGTCCTGCCAGGCTCTGGCTGCCCAGTCCTGGGGACAACCTGAGATCTGGAGCCCTCCCCACCCAGCCCCAGAGTGGCAGGAGCCCCAGGGTGGGGCAGGGGACAGGAGGGGACAGAGGTCAGTGGTGGAGGGAGAGGGGTCTGGCAGATCCTCCCCTCCCCTGAGAGCAGCCCCTCTCACCTGAGCCCCCTACTCCGATGCATTCCCAGGAGCCCCTCGCCCTGCTCGGCCGCACCGGGGGCAGCGGTGGGAAACCGAGGCCAGGCCACAGGCGCATCTGACTCAGCCCTGGGCCGTCAGCTCCTAACCTTGTGAGCCTCTTGGGGACGCAGCTTGCAGCTGCACTGAGGCCACGGGGCGCCTCCTCACTGCACACTCAGCTGCGTCACTGGCAGTCACATTCGTCACTGACAGTCACAATCGGTAACAGATGATTGTGCAGACCTCCTGTCCCCAAGCCTGGCTCTCCTGCTGCCCCCCAGGACGTTCTGAGTGGGTGCTGCACCCTCAGGAGAAGCCGCTAAGTGGGAAGGAAGGCTCGCGCTGGCCGCCTGCTGGGGCCCAGCCTGCGGGTGAGGCCTGGTGGCTCTCTGCTCCAGGACCCAGAGTGTCTGTCTCCGAGGGACAGGGCTTGGGGCAAAGCCAGCCCTGCGGTTTGGGATATCAGAGGCCACGTTCCTCTTCTCAGGGCTGCTCTGGTGCCCTTCCAGCGAGCCAGCTGGCGAGAACCTCCGTCCCTGTGGCAGTCCGCATGGTCCAGCTCCGTCCTCTGGGAGGAGGACACAGACCAGCCAGGCGCTGGGAGCACCCACTGCGGGGAGGAGGTCTCTTCTGGGCATCATAAACCCAGCAGGACAGGGACAGCTTCTGGGCCTCCGTTGGCCATTGCTTGGTCCAGGAGCAGGCCGTGGCCCTCGGCTGGCACTGTCTGCGGCAAGAGCAGCCAGAGCCTGGGAGCCTGGGGGCTGGCCGGAGGAGGCCCCCCTTTGCGGCCCACCAGGCCCTGGCACCTTCCAGCTCCCCCACGTCTGTGCCCGCAGACCCGCTAGCTCTTAGCAGCCATGCCCCTCCCCCCATCTGGCCGCCTCCGCCCCCAGTGAAGCCCCCAGGAGCTGTCCCTGGTCTGATCTCTTAGCATTTGTTTTATTAATATTTACTCAAATGAGAGCAGCTCGTCCCTTGCCATGGCCCAGCAGCTGGCAGGAGGACGCAGTGAAGCAGGAAGCGCAGCCTCTGGGATTTACCTCCCACGGGCGGCCCAGGCTGCCGGGTGCCCCGCGGCCCTGGAGGGGTTGAGAGCAGCCCCCTGTTCCAGGGAGTCCCCCTTGGTATGCGCAGATGGCCTCATTCCTGTCCCCTCCTGCCACCTCCCAGTCTGGGGGTCCTGTGAGCTGGAAGGAGGGCTTGCCTTGGAGGGGCAGCCCCTGTGGGGGGCACATCAGTATAAGACATCACCCCACGCACCCTTGGACCCAGCCCCCGGCCTGAGGATGGGACCCCCCCAGTGCCACTCCCAGAGCCTGGCCCAGGCCCACAGCCTCCTGGGGGAACAGAGGAGGGTCCCTGGGAGCTCCCTGGAGATCCACCCGTGTGCAGCGTCTGGCCCAGTAACGAGGCTGCACCCAGGACCCCGACCCCGCGCCTCCCTCCAGGGGCACCTCCCAGCACGTCGCTGGCCTCTGAGGTAAAGGGTCAGATGTCCTGATCCCAGATCTGGGGGGAGCCCCTGGAAAGTCCACACTTGACGCCAGGGTGCCCACGTTTCTGCAACATCATTTTTTATCCTATTTAACCTTCGGCCCCCGTGCGCCCAATCTACCCCACCCCCGTTCTCACCAGCCACCTACTCCATGCCCAGACCCTTGGGGGGGCGGTGTCCAGGGTGGGGGCCGCTGTGCCCCCCTGCACAGAAGCAAGGCCCCAGCAGGCCCCGCCCCGCCTGCCTCCTGGGGCCTGGCCAAGCTCCGGTTCCCATGCGGGGGTGAGGGCCCTGAGCTGCTCCGAGAGGTGCCCACAGGCGGCCTTATATGGCCAGGAGGCCTGAGGCCCAGGAGGAATCTGACTCCCCGGGAGGGCCCAGTGGGCAGAGCCGGAGCCGGGGGCAGGGATCTGGGGCTGCAGCCGTGAGGACGGGACACCTGAGGGTCCTTCATCCGCAGGCTGTGCCGGGTTCCCTGCCCGGCAAGAGCCCGGATTCCGGGTCAGCCTGGTCCTCCAGGCGCCACAGTGAATGGTTTCCAGACCACACAAACACCCCGGGGCTTCGTCCTCTGTGCTGCGACCTGGCGGGGCCCAGCGCCTCTCTCTGCGCCTGACCCCAGGGCTGCAGGGCTGGACGGACATCCACCTCCCCCGACTCGTCTCTCTTCCTGACCGCTCTCCGGTTTTTCATTCTCAGGCTGCTCTCCGCCTGTCTCTGTCTCTCTCTTTGTCTTTGTCTCTCCGTCTCACTCTCTGTCTCTCTGTCTCTCTGTCTCTCTGTCTCTCTCTCTCTCTCTCTCTCTCTCTCTGGGTTCCCCTGCCTGCTGCCCTAGACCCGCTAAGCTCAGCCGAGGGTCGGGGTGGCCCTTGTGGGGCTGGGTGGGCGGTGGCCACGGGGGTGGTGCAGACCCTCAGGCCCCAGCTCCACAGCCGCCGCGCAGCCTGGGACGCGGAGCGCCTCA